ACTTGTCTTGAAGCACTTTCTTTCCATATCTGATGAACATGTCTAAATTTCAAGCAGACCTCAAATAATTCAAGTCAGGAGGTACTAGGGCAGTGAGACTCATCCCTAGTTCAAGGGAACCGTGAATTCCACACTGCTCCTATTTGTCCTGGCTGCTCAGGGCCCTTGGCTGCTCCACACATGAACAGGAGGTCTGGTTACACATGGTGGGAAATATCATGGAAAGATTGTCTCTGAAATTCTCAGAACTTGACCAGGGTCTAATCCATTATTTCTGCTTTGCAGCTCTGATCATGCCTGCCCTCTCCATTCTCAGACTCCACCATCACAAACACTGCTACAGGTTCATCCTCACACAGCCTCCTCTTGGCCTGGTATGGAAATGGCTTGACTGATAAGCTCAGGAGTGGGATGGATGGCTTCATCAGTTTTTAGCCTTCAGGGGACCATGTGGCTTCAGATCATCTCCACAATGTCTCAACAGTGCAGCTCTCATGATACAGCTAAGCTCCAGTGTCCACACCTTCTGTTGTAGTCCAGGGTTATTACACAGAGAACAACTCAGGTCAGGACATGGAATTTATAATATTTTTATAATGGTCACTGAAAGTTAACACAGGAGAATGCAGGAAATCTATCCGCAACACCAACGACATAGATTATTTAGTCAAGAGTCTAAATCCCATGGCAATGTCCCACATGAGTCCAGATAAAAACCCAGAGCTCAGGACAACGCCTCCACGAGTCCAACTGGAAATCCAGGGCCCACAAGGACTCACGCCAGTCTCTTATGGATTCGTGCCGGGAAGACCCAAGGGTCAGCGGTGGAAGCCAGAAAGTTCATGCCAGCAGGATGAAGGAGCTGTGCTAGTGGGATGAGGGTTCTACACTGGAGCTGAGAAGTCACACTCACAACAAAGAGCGGGGCTGTCCTGAAAGGAACCACAGCTGTCCTCAGCGACACGAAGGCCCCGAGCTCCTCCGACGACAAGCACAGTTGGGAACTGTCGGTGTCGCTCCCGGCCGGCAGGAAAAACACACGACAGATTCTGACGGTGTGCAACCTTGTCTTTATTTGTCTCCGCGTGGGCCCCGCGAGGCCTCTGTTCTGCCACCAGCCCTTTCTCGCCGGTGGACTTTCTCTATCTCTCTCGTGCTTCTCTCTCGTAGCGGGAGAGGCACTCACTTTTATAGGGTAACAGTGGCCAATCAGTTCAAAGTGCGCGATGCGGGCTGATTGGCTAACATCAGTTGTTGCTAGGCAGACTATCTTACAGAGCGGGTTGTTTAAGTCGCCAGGGCAATCAGGGGGCAGGAAGCAGGCGCCAACTTGGCTCACTCGATGGGAGGGGTAATCTAGCTCAGGCTTTGCTCTTTCTTACAGGCCTCACGTCCGCCAAGTAAAGCGACTGGTGTCGGCCGCGGCTCCCAACAGGGAACATGCCAGGAAGCAGCGTGAGGAGTTCACCCTGGGGACCAGGCAGCACATGTCTTCCCCTCCGGAGCCAGGAAGCAATGCTCGATGTGAAGACCAAAGCTTCTCCAGGAGAATCAACAGCTCAGACAGCAACTTGTAGGAGAACTAACAATGCCTCCATAACGCCTCAATCCCTCTCCAAACCTCTCTTCTTCTCCACCTATTTATCCTGGCAACCCTCCTCAGGTGGAGCATCTTCTCTCAATACATGCTGATGTAATCCAGCTGGCATTAAGTTGACCACTAGTTATCAAACCATAACACCTTCTTACCAACTCCATACATCAGCCAGAGGCAGGAAGTGATATTTCATTTTATTAATGTATGTTTGCCTTTTACTGAGCTTATGTTTCTTTCTATACACTTGGCACATTGGAGGACCCTCCGCTGTAAATTTCACCTGTGCTTGTGACCTGTTCTCCTGCTGGGGCGGATGGCTCACTAGATTCCTTGAATGCAGGTCTTGGTATGTTCTGGACAGTTTGTTAAGCTATTGCAGAAGCCTCAAGCTTGGACTGTTTCTCCATGTTATCCATGATGTCTATTATGGTTTGTGTCTGGATGTCTCCCTAAAGCCTCATGCAGTCAGGGGGGCAGACCTGAAAAAACCTGGAAAAACCTAGAGTGTATGATTAATTCATGGTCCAATGCTGTGATTATTGGTGTGTGTGCTAAATGTACCCTAAGGTGGTTGTGACCTACATACAATTTAAGAGAGGGAAAGAATCTTCTCTGAGCACTCCTTCCTCTTTTGTTTTTGCTGTCTTTTGCCAACATGAACTGTTGCTCCTCTGCTACGCCACTCTGCCTTGGAGCCAACTGATTATATGGATGGGAATCTCCACAAACTGTGAGCTAAATAAACCTTTCTTTCCTCAATTTTGAGTGTCAGGTATCTTGTCTCAACAATGAGAGAAGTGACCAACACAATGTCCTTCTCTAGAGAGAAATCCAGTGACTGTGGTATTGTTCAGAATTGTAGTTCTGGCTTGGAATGGACTGCTTTTCATTTTCTCCAGCTTTTGTGTTGTGGTTTTCATTTTAATTTTGTCATAATCTAATACATCACATTTTTCCAACAATTTGTGTTTCTGAAATTTGTTTATTAAGTCCTTCAACACCCAAAGATTATAACAACCTACTCTTTCATATTATACTCTCTTTGAACCCTTTCTTTTTTTTTTTATTTAAGAGGAAAAAGAGAAAAACACAAAACAAACCAAAGCGGCGTAAGGGTACACGCAATACAGAACTACAAAAACAAAACAAAAAAACATAACAGTAAGAAATCACCTGCTAGTAGATTACACACTATCTTCTTGAAAATAGTTCCTCAAATCACAGTATCAAAGAACACAAGGTGGACATTCAAACAGGGAGACTGCAAACAGCTGTGTTCAATGTTCCAAAAACATTGATAAAGTCAGCTATTTAACACCCCCAAACACACTTGCTGTTTGAACCCTTTCTTGCCTATGGAGTTCTATTAACTTTAGTGTGGCGTCAGGTAGTCAGTTTTTTTTTCTTCACATAGAAAACTCACATCCAACATAAGCACTGAAATAATTCATCCTGTCTCTCTGTAGGTTCCTTCTGCTATCTTTGCTGTATATCAGGTATCTGTTTGTGAATGAAGATTTATGGGCTCTTTGATGTTCTGTCTTGGTCTGCTTTCCAGTCAAAACACACTGTTTTTTCTTTTTTTGTCACTATTTTTTAAAGTTTACTACCATGATTTTACAGTAGGTCTTAACACTTGCTAAGATTTTGCCAGTGATATTTCATGTTGTATTTCCCAGTCACAGACTAATCCACAGGAGGCTCCTGGGTTTTACTGTGATTCCTTGGCTGTTCTGGGGTCAGCTCACTGTTTGAGTATCAATTTTATTTTTTGTTTTTAAGCTTTAAAAGTTTTCCAGAAATATATTAAAAAGTACATTTATTATAATTTACCCAAGATCAAGCTATAGTCTAGGGTAAGGAGTCTTTGGAGCATGTACTCTGCTCACTGCAGAGATTAAAATGCATCATGGTTTCTTTCCTTACCAGATGCCCCAACTGTTCTGGAGAGACGTGAGTTCCTTCCTGCCTTCCCTAACTCAGCCTCTCATTCCTACAACCCACACAGTTGGTGGCTCATCCTCATGGTCATCTCTGCTCTTGGTTCCTGTAATTCCTCAATTTCCCAGCTTCCTTCTGAGAATTCTGAGCATTCTCTACCAAGATATTCTCCTCCATTCAGATATGGTAGGTGAGAATTTCCCACAGTTCTGTCCCTAGCTGATGCTTCCCCCAACACATACACCATGCTCTCACACCATGGCTTCAGTTTCCTCTGTACAGATTTTGGAAATCTGCAGCACAGCTTGACCCACCCAGGCCCACGCCTGCTGCTCCTGGCTCCTTAGACCTGGCCAGACATACTTATGTCTCAGTCTCCACTGCCCTGCTCCTTGTCCCTCAGCATACCTGTCACATGGGTTTCCACTGGGAACAGTTGGCCAGAAATGGAATAATGGCCACTGTAGGGAGCAGAGCTCTGACCTTAGGCTTCCCAGTCTATTGAGAAAAGCCAGGCTGACCGAATACCCTCAGGCTCAGCCCCTTGGGCAGGCAGCCTCAGCTTCCCCAGCTGTCCTGCCCTCCTCTCCAGATGCTTCCATGACTAAACTCAAGTCCTGCCTTCTCCATGGATCTGCCTCTCTTGGATGTGGCTAGGAGACAGATGTTCTGGATGATGTCTGGGTATCTGACATGGTCCATCACCTGCATTCCAGGCAGCTGCTGCAAGCATCTGAGGTTCTTTATGTGGTCTGTGGTGCTGTTGTGGGATAAGAACCTCATCCAAGGCACTGACCCCACTGAATGTTTGCTTGGTACTCACTGCATAGTCACTATGACCTGGGAAGCCTCAGTGCTACACCAGCCAGCAACCTAGGGTCCTAATGCTAGGCTAAGGATCAGAGGCCATAGATGTGCAAGAGGAACTTGCACTGCACTAGGGAAATACAAGGCTATGAACATGGTGGTGATGGTGGTGGTGTGGGGGGGGTAGGTATCCACACCAGGAATGTGGAGAGACAGAAACACACAGGTGAGACATAGTCAAACTGAAGGGAGAAGCAGGGGGTATCCCCTGGGATAAGGCATGTAAAAGGGGCTCAGAGCTAAAGCAGAACAGTGGATAGTGGGTAGCAGGTCACCAGGACCCTTGGGGCAGGATAGGCATGGTGCATAGGTGCAAAGAGAAGGTTCCACTTGACCAGGGGAGTAAGGAGTGGATAGGTCACCAGGGGAGATCTACAGCCTGACTGGGCAGCATGTGGACCCAGAACACGGGTCACGCTAAGGACAGGAGACAGTGGGGAGGAGTTGTGAAAGATGACTTCCAGATCCTGGGCTCCCTGTGTACCCAAAGCTACTGGTATCTGGAAAGAGAGGAGAGCCCATGCCATGTGCACATGTGAGTGTATACAGGACCGACCGGTGCAGGCAGGCAGAAATAGGAGGCCAGGATGCACTCTGTCAGCATTTAATAACAGTAGAACTCAACAAGGACAGGGAAGGGACAGGCTAAATGGCTACTGAGCCCTGCTCTAGAATGCATATTGGGACAGATCCATGATGTCTTCTGAGAAGTTCAGGTAGAACCTGCGACAAATGTCATCCCGGTCCTCCAGGAGGGCACCAAAATCTGCAGTAGAGACCATGATCTGACTGCATGGCCACAGAGCCTGAGGAACCTTCTGGAAACTCACATCCCAGTGTAGAAGGGAGGGAGAGGAGAGAGGGGAAGGAGGAGATGGCCTACCCTCAGCCAGAGGGACACTGGGAGGGTTGGGAAGAGGCTCCCCTTTTGTTTGCTGGCCCAGCTCACATTTCTTGAGGATTTTTATGTCGCTCTTCTTCAGGTGGAAGCAGAGATCCAGAAAGTAGTCCTGCAGCATGGCCCCTGGAAGTCAAGTGGGCCTGGCACCTCCCACCACGGAGGGTGCTGGCCCTCAGGTTGTCTGGCCTCTCATAGGGATGTAAGGTCTTGCCCTGTGCAGACTGTGGTAGGGAATGAGGAGGAGGCAACAAGGAGTGGGAAGCAAGGTTGCAAGGGCAGTGCCTACCAATGAACTTCATAGCTGCCAGCTTCAGGTTCCTGCAGGGGCTGCCCAGGTAGGTCAGGGCCTGCATGAAAAACTGGTGGTGGCTACCAGAGTTGCTCTCCATCTGGGGGAGAAGAAGGTCTCTGTAACGTGCTTCCATCTGACACGCCCACTAAGGGTCCCAGCACCCCTGCCTCAGTACCTAGGCCAGGCAATAAGGATGGTAGTTATCCCAGGCTGGACCCAGAGCTCCATAGGCCCAGCTTCTCTACTGACCTCCACCTCTGGGTGGGGGTTGCTGTGTTAAGTCATGCACACCATATGTATCTGTGACCTCTTCCTAACCTCATCCTGGACATCCTCCACTATCCCCCAGTGCACCCCAGTCTGGTTCCCATCCTACCCCAATATAGCACCGAGCCAGGGGATAATAGAATGCAAGGAGTGCTGGCAGGTGAGAAGCAAAGGTCAGCAGGATTGGCCAGCACAGCCTCAGAGGTGACACCTCTAGGAAAGGAACCTGAGGATGAAGGCAGTTCCAAGAAAGATGGAGACAGGGGGCTTCATCTAGAGCTCCAAATATCTTCCAGGCCTCTCCCTTTTGTAGCTCCATTTATTATCAGAGCCTGTTTGAACTAGCTTCCCTGCCACTGTCATGACAAAGAGCCCTAGCAAGCCTACCACTTTGGCGTTTGGCCCCAGACCATCCCTCAGACTCTAGGGCCGTCTTGGTGCTGTCGTGCTGCTCTGACCACTGCTGTGGCTGGGCACTAACATCTGGCCATTCCTACCTAGTCCAGACCCACCAATGGGCACCTACCATCTGCCTAACACACAGCTGTGTAAGTTGTGGCCCCTTCACCTGAGCTCTGCTGCGGAGACATGACCCCTCCCTCAGCAGTCTGAATTTCCACAGATAGTTGTGCCTGGGGCTGTGCTATCCTTCCTGCAAACCCAGATCCTTCTCAGTTTGTTCCATCTTTGGTATATAAGGGCACCTTGGTCATCAGCAGACCTGAGTGCACTATGTCCTGGGTGAAGTTTGGCCATCACTGAAACATGCACATGTTTTACAGGGCAGCCTGGACCCAAGACTCCCTGCAAGAGTTGACCCTGTCTTGGAGTGGGAAAAAAAAATTAGTAAGGGTCTGGAACATTCTAATGTCAGAAGAAAGAGTGCTTCCTAGAATGTCCAGGGCAATTCTCAAAAAGGAAAGATGTTGCAAAGAAAGTGATAGCTGTATCCCTAGATGGAATGGCTTGAGCATGAAAGCCATGAAACTACCCATGGGAACAACAGTCACTAGAATAAGCTCAACTTGCCATTGGCCACAAGGGTGGTGTTATGTCCAACAATGCACAAGTTGAATTCCTGATGCCCCATATCTCAGAATGAGTTCTCATTCAGAGACAGGGTCTTATGAGGTGATCAAAGTAAACTGAAATCACCGGGAAGGGCACTGATTCAGTACAACTAATGTCTTTATACAATGGGGCAAGGTGATGCAGTGACAGACACACAGCAAGAGGGAGGCCTCATAGTGGAGCTATGGGGCCACCAGCCTAGAGACTTTGGAAGCTGGATGGGAGGCCTGGGCAGATCCCCAGTGGGCAGGCATTCATAGTGCTGGTAGGGGATGTGGTCATCCCCCTGTTCAGCCCATTGTGGTGCTCTGGTTGGTGGCCCCAGCAGATGACACAGGCCACAGTCAAGGGACTTGTGATGCATACAGAAAAGAGGCACTACCAACAGGAAGGGAAGCCACAATTCAATCCATGTAACTTTTTTCTGGTATGGCAAGTAGGGAAGCCTATAGCTAACTATGGATTTAAGATTTTATGTACTTAAGATTTTTAAAAAAACAAGGTGCTTGTGTAAAATGGCTCCACATGGTTGTTCAGTGAGGGCTGAGAGTAGCCTGGGACAGAGATTGAAAAGAACTGTGGGGATGGAAGGGACAGTCAGCCTGTGGCATGACCCAGCAACTGGCAGGAGAGACTTAATCTTAGAGCCCCATGTGGTGACAGGCAGAGAGCCAAGATCTACACTGGATCGAGTTATCACCAAGTAGTAGTAGTAGTCTGGAGAAGAAGCCCTGACCTTGCAGGCCACCGGCTGTGCACTAAGACACAGAGAAGCTGAAGTTTGTAAGAAGATACTGGTTCGGAGCAGGGAAGTCTGCTAGGTAAAGCAAAGGTCACTACATCTAGGCCCAGAGGTCAACAGCGTTCTGCTCTGGGGTGGGGTTTGTTGCCAGGCAGCCTTTTCCTCTGGTGTCTAAGAAAACCATAGCTATCCTGCAGAGTTGTAAACACCCTAAAAGCAGAATAGGGATGGAAGAACAAAAATGGGGATGGGGAAGGTGGGGTTGGATTCTGATGCAAGATCAAGAGATCTAAAAGCACCCCTTCTTGTCTGCCTGCTGGAAATGCCTAGGGAATCTGATACTTTAAAGCAGTATTTTAACTAAGTACTCAGAGGTATGTCATTAAGTATGTCATCAATACGCTCAGGGAAATTCTGTTAAATAAGTTTTAATGTATGGATCACTCCAATTTGCCAATTAGGCAAATGTAATGTTAGCAACATTGATTTTTAATGTTTTAAAAGAATATTTCGATGAATTAATAAGATTAATAAGCTGGATGTTAAGTAAAACACAAATGATAATGCATATTCCTCTTCATGCAAGGAAATACTTTCAAGATGAAAGAATCTGTTAACAACAAATTTCTCTTACACTACTTTGCTAAACAAACTCAAAGAAGAAACCCCAAAGGTAGAACTAGGCAGGGACAAAATCAGCACCTTCAGCCCCAGAGCTGAAGCTCTGGCCACTCTGAGTCTGAGGGTATCTCCCCACCAGGAGGCTGGAATTGATTCTGACACTCATGAGGCAATCAGCCTAGAGGTCCAGGGGCTAAGAGAAGAAGAGGGACCAGGCATCAGACTGGAACACCCCAAATGCAGGCAGAAAGACCCATTAAAAGGTAGCTTTCAGCCCATCTGAGAAAAGAACGATTTCCTGAGGCATGAAACCCATAGGTGAGGGTCACATTGTTGCAGGCAGCTGAGTTAATTAGAAATATAGGAAGTGAGACAGGGCTAGCTCCTCAAAGGAGCCACAGATACCTTACAACTGTGCAGGAGACAGACACCTCCTGCTGTTGGCCAGGCTTCAAGACAAAGGATCAAACAAATGCATCTACATCCTAAAGACTGATATTCTAATTAGTTCCCTATCACTCTGGAGTCACTAGCCCACCCCCCCTAGAGGAAAGGTCACAACTCTAAGAATGCCTGCTTCCTATGTAACTTGCTTTCCCATTTGTCCCTAATGTAATCAATTTTACCTGAACTATTGATCTTACTGGCTAACTATAGTTATGTCCCCCCTTATGCCCAAGTGCCTTGTGAGTCCATCCCCAAACCCATGGTTTTACTCTATAAAAGTCCCAGGAAAAGACAGTCTGGGGTAACCCACTCAGTACCCCTTCTGTCTCTCTTCAGGCAGAAGCTTTCTCTCAGTAAATATATTCTGCTCTTAACCTCCGTTGTTCCTAAAATTCATTCTCCGATTTTAGAGAACACAAACTTATACCGGACATAGTAGGTCGAGAGTTTCATTCCCTTATATCAACATAAAGATTAGAATTTGCATTTGCAGGGCCTGCATTTTTTAGGGATACTTGGAGCCTCACAGCAAATTCATCCATGTCAGCAGTAACCACAGAGATGCACGCGTGCAAGGCTCAGGATGCCCAGGGAAGGCTGAGCCACAGCACAGAGCCAGGGTACAGATAAGGAGAGGAAGTCAGCAGGGGTGAGAGTTAGAGCATAGGTCAACCACAGGAGCATTTTCTTAAATAGTCACATTTGTGGGAAATGGGCACTCAGAGGACAAAGGCATGATGCTTCAAGAGAGCAGGTGGCTCACAAATAACAGGCAGTGGATGTTTCACAAGAGCAAATCAGAGATGGAGGAAGACAATTTCATGACTGGAAGATAAGGCTGGAAGGTACCCCAAAATGAGCATTAGGAGGCAAAGAAGAAGAAGAAAACAGGAAACTGAGGATGAGCTGTGTGAACTGTAACAGAACAAGGTCAAACACACATCTAATGTGTGGGCCCTTTCACCCAATATTAATATTTTTCCCAGCTCAAAATTCACCCACTTTATCTGCTCTGTGAACATGGATCTAGGCTCTCTCTATTCATAGCTGGCCCTGCAGGTCCAGGAGGTAGCAGTGCAGGGACTCTGCAGAGGACAGGCCTGCCCCCCAGGCCTCTATAATCAGCTCTTGCAGTCCTGCAGTAGCTGCCTCCAGGTTCCCAGGACGATCTTGTAGCCTTTGCTCCGTGTGCTATCACCTACTAGGGGCTTCTCTTGGGATTTCTGAAGGGATTCTTCCTGAGTACCACCTTAGGTCAGTGAACCTTACCTATTACATGTTATACATGTCTCTGTATGTGCGCAGATTAAGGCTCTTTCCATCTTATAGTGTAACTTGTTTCCAGTCACAGATCATGCCTCTATGCATTAAGCTTTCCCTACCTAAGTGGATGTGCGTGTCTGCCTCCTGGGTAGGTCCTGATGAAGTCAGAACTGTGGTGTTTGGGCTTCAAAGAACCCAAAGCATAAATCACAGAGGAGTGCATCTAGCTACACTATGCTGTATTTGGAAACGTCTACACAAGCAGAGACACCATCAGCAAAGAAACACACAAGTCACTGACTGCAAAAACAAGTGCAACACAAGTAACTAGCCCAGGACCCACTCCTGAGGTACTCAAGGAAGCCACAAACATTTCCAAGCCAAAGATAATGCCCCCAAAGAATGGGGAAGCATCTGAAAGGGCAATTTGTGGCTGGGCCCCAGTTTGTTGGCTCCTGATGACTTCAACCCTCAAGGCTGTGCTGCCCACCAGGAAAGGAAACTTCCATCCTTCCCTGGGACCAGCTGACTCTGTCCCCTGCAGGAAGCCCTGCTGGACTGCTCCTGTCACTGGAGTCCTGGCCTTTTCCATCTTCCAGATGTCCACAGCTTCTGAATGTGGTCTGCCAGTGACTGCTGGGCCCAACCTGGCTGGCACTACGAGGACACTTTTCACTGGTTTTCCCCTCCTTCTATATTTTCCTCCCATCACATTCAAGCAGAAAATGGTTCCACCTTTCATCTCCTTGGAGGAGGGAGGTGACCAGGACAAAATAAAGCAGTGAATCTTCTTGTTTTTCTGGTTCCCAAATTCAAGTCCCTATGGTAAAGGTCAGTCACTTTGAAGCCCGGAATGAAAAAGAAATCCTCCAAAGCTGTCAGGATGGCAGGAAGATATCTACTGTGAGGCCTCTCAGATATCTACTGAGAGGACCTGTGCTCCACTTCTTTCACTTAAATACCAGCATGACCACCTGTCCACACTCCACAGCCCTCCTCAGACAAGGCTGCGGTGACTGTACACATCTATCTCCTCCTCCCTGTCCCTGGCTCTTCTCCCATAGGGTACTCACACCTTACCATGATGGTAAAAATGTCGTACTCAACCTCTACTCCTCGGCCCCATGCCAACTTGCTGAATAGCTCCTTCCGGAACTCCCAATTCAACAAGATGGTGCAGCGAAAGAAGGTGATCTTGGTCCTCTGTGGGTGCAGGATAGAGATGCATCATCCAGCGAGTTTCCAGCCTCCACCCCATCATGTCCCTCCCAGGCAGATCCCAAGGGGAACAGAAGTCTTCAGGGATACTCTCCCAGTACACTTGGGGTCCTAGCTATGCTGTCTGACTGCCCAGAGGGGACTGTCACCAGAAGAAGTTGGACCCAACAAGATGCCTCCACCCTAAGCTCCATGGCACCAATATAAAGCTTACAGAGAGGCCAGTAGTCACCTTGGTGGCCCAGGCCTCCTATTTGATGCCAAGAAGGAGATACCACCCAAGGAGTCTGTTTGGGTCCCTCGTCTCCAACTTTTTTAGTCTGGGAAAAGGACATAACTTCCCACAGTAGAGATGGAGCCTAGTTAAGTTATTTTGTTGTTAAATGTGAGGTCTGGGATGGGTAGAGAAGCCTTTGGGTGTTACAAAGGCTACAGGGTACAGTGGTACAGGGTTAATGCTGCAGTACAGAGCAGGCACCGAGGACCAGTGGAGGTGGTGGCTGGCCTGCTGGTGAAGAGCAGAGGCCAGACCAGGTGTCCAAGGAAAAGAAGCAGGTGGCCTGCCAGAAGTGAAAAGGGGTGCTGTAGGAAATCAGGGCAGAACCCATAAAACCTGGGGGCCATGTAATAACATTCCAGAAGCCCTTGTACAGGACATTCTGGGCCACTGGCCAGGGGAGAGAAGAATGGAGGAAGAAGATTATGAGTGCCAGGTTCCCAAGGCTGACTTTAGGTGTCAGGAGGAGTAGAAAAGCTGAAGGCAGGTGGCTAAAGGACCACCACAGGAATTGGTTCTTTACTTTTCTTCATCCAGAGATTCACCTTCAAGATGCCCAAGCCTTCCAGTCTGGCCCAGCCAGGCTCTGGTCTCCATTCATAGATCTGGGTCCTCCCCATATACTGGACCCCTGGCAGCCCTGGCCTGGAAGCCTGCTCACCATGACCACCTCCTTGTAGGCATCGGCTAGGTGGAAGAGCAGAGGCACCAAGGCCTGGAAGGCTACTTTCTTGAGTGGCTGCTGGAACTTTCTGCCACCGCTGTAGATAACATCCCCAAACAGGAAGATGGCACTTGCACGCACCTTTGCCTTTTCCTGGGGGACAGAAGTAGGTAGGCTCAGGCAGGCAACACAGCAGATTCCTTCAAGTGCTTTTGCTCTGCCTGTGACTTTCAATGGCCAGCACTTGCCTCACTTTGGCTGTGAGACATGCAGGGCCAGTTGACACCAGCTAATCCCATGGACCAGCAGCCCCTGAGCACTGGAGTCCAGCCCACTCCCTTTAGCTCCAACTGCCTTCTCTCTCTGCCTTCTCTCCCTGGTCCTCCTGCTTTGCTCGCCACGCCCCCTTCAATCTCTAGAAACTTTCTGCTGCATTTGCTATGCTTGGTTGTTCTACAGGTCCTCAGGCAGACCCTGGTGTCAGATCTGTCATTTTCTGGCTCTGTGACCACTGTGAGTTTCCTTCTCTTTGTGATTCAGTTTCATCGTTTTTAAATAATAAGGTAGTAAACACTGCCTTTGTCGTTAGGTTGAGGTAAAGATTTGAGTCCAGTGCTACTGGCAGCCTCGGTGGTACTGATGTCCACCTGTTCTGTCTGTCCTGTGCTGCTGCCCTCTCCTCATGTGCAGGAATGGCAGCGTCTCCCTTCCACCTGTCTACCTAACAGGGATCCTCCATGCAGTCTCCTCTTCCCAGCCGGAGACCCTGGATCTCACTGCTTCATGGGGTGGGCCGTGAGCGCAGTTTTTAAATGAGGTGGTAGTTCTTGTCAGCCTAGGAGGCTGGAAACACTAGTACTTGCCCCTGCCTTAAAGATCAGCCAGTGGAAGCCCGGTCCGACTCCGGCGGAACTTTCCATTCACTCCCAAGTTCTCTGCCGGGCTGCTTGGCCAGAGGACTTTACCCACCGCAAGGCATGGAACTGCGTCTGCCTTTCTGATTGGTGGGCTCAGGAGAGACTATGTAGAGTCCTAACCAGCAGAGGGCGCAGAGCTCCTGGACCCTTCCGGAAGACCCCCTACTCCCAGCCTGCCGCCCCAATCCCGGCCACACCCTGCCCTTGTCCTGTTCCCCTCACATGCTCAAACAACTGCAGCAGGTGCTGGGCAAGCTGGAGGCTGATGGGGCCGATGCCCTGGAGCCCTAGGCGGTGCAGGATGTCGCTAAGGATTGCTATCAGGCCCAGGAGATCCTGAGGCTCGGGCTGCAGTAGGCTGTTCAGCAGATCCCTGAGCATGCCATGGAGCAGGGCCGCCTGCAGGGAGACATTGCCCCGCCCCCCGCCCCACACACACACTGGGGCAATGTGCCTGGACTGCGGGCCCTCCTCCAGCCTGACCTACCCGTTCTCCAGGATGGAGGACTGAGTCTCTGGGCTGGCCACAGTCTCACTCCCAGCCACCCTTCCACACTGGACAGGAAAATAGATAAATACAAGGCCCTTTACCCCTGCAATAGCAACATGGGGCAATGGACTTGTTCTGGGAGACTGAGCAGGCAGAGGGAGGTGGGTGGGGCATGGCAGAGGGACCCAGCAGTAGGCTAAGGGCACTGAACTCAGAGCTCCCTGCCATTCAAAATCCCCACCCTGCACAGTGCCTTCACTAGCCGATGTGGCTTCACCATCTGCCTACCCTGGCTCTTCTCTGGCCTCCTCCCTGCAGTCCTCCTGGGGTGGAAGTGGGCGTCTCCCACAAATGCCCCCATCTCCTTCTCACCTTTTGGGCGTTCATCATAATGCTACTGAGGCCCTTCAGACTCATGGCCCGCACCAGCCAGTTGGGGCTGTTCAGGCCCAAGCTCAGAAGGTTGTCCATGGCCTTCTGGGACACATGCTTAGGGACCTCTGGGCTGTTGAGAAACTGTAGGGTCAGCACCATCAGGGAAAGTCAGCCTGCGACATGTGCCAGGCATAAGTCAGGATGCCTTTATATCAAGGACAGGGAGGAAAGCCCAGTTCTGACATGCTTCCTAAAGGGCAGAGAACAGAGCATAGCGTGGGTGGCTAGGGAGAGGCTAACCTCTGTAATGATGAGGATGGCCACGATGTTGTCTCTCTCCTCACAGCTCTTCAGGGAGATGATGGCCTGTCCCAAGACAGCCCCGACTTCACAGTCATACAGGGCCATGGCCCTATCAGATGGAAGAAACAGAAGCAGGGTCTCTGAGGCCCCTATTCTCTAGAGGACCAGGCTGAGGCTAAGGATAAGGGTGATGGCTGGAACACCACTACCACAGATCTCAGGCACTGGTCAGGCCCTGAGTTGAGTGTATGATACTGTGGGAGAAGGCACAAGTAGGAGCTGCATCAGGGTGTGGTCCACCCCCTCCCAGCCAGGGCAGCCAAGCTTGAGGATCACCTGGCCAGCACAGTCACTCCTTCTGTATAGGTCTCCAGTCGCTCAAAGAGCTCCCAGCCCCTGAGCATCTTGACGTGTGCAAACACCTCCCAGTACCGAGTGGTCCAGAAGAGGCCCTTCATTGCTTCAAGGCAGGTCCTGGGGTGGTGCAGAGTGTTTGGAGACTATGGAGGCCCTGGGACCTAGGCCAGCAGCTCCTTCTGGGTTCCCCTTGCTCAGGGCTTCACTGCCTCCTATCCCACCCTGTGGAGCACAGTCCATTCCTCCCTTGTTTCTCAGCACCTAGCACCTTGTGGGAGGATCCCTGACCCAGTGAGTAGGTCCTGAAGTCAGGGTCAGGGTACAGTGGGCCTGAAGCTGCCCCACATCTCACCTGCAGGGCCCAAGGGGCTTGGAGTCCAGGGTGTCTTCCTGGAAGTCCAAAAAACCCTTGACCATGCCCAGCTCGAATAGGTAATGTAGTTGTGTGAGCAGGCCCAGGAGGATCCCCGCAAAGGCCCAGCGGACTGTGGTCCTGTACTCCTGGATGTAGAGGAGCTCGTAAATGGTACCCAAAGCCTGCAGTGGGAGGTAGGGCAGGCACAGAGTGCCAAATGAATGGAGAAGTGAGCAGCCATGGAAACATGCCCATTTTGTCTCCGGGTCCCACTGCTTTTATCTGGTCTCACACAGGGACCTTTGGGTCCTTGTAGCTGGATCTGGACTGGCTGGCCCCTCCCACAGCAGCCAGAAGCAGGACAGGTTGAGCTAGCCCCAAACTCTTACATTTGTCTGGACTCCAAATTCTACCCAGACCCTACCGCTGGCCTCCCTTCCTCCGCTGCATCCTTCCTGTGGAGAGGTCGCTTCCAGATGCCTTACTAAAGGGCTCTCCTGGTCTCACTGGTTCCAATCCTGAGTTTCAGTATCTGATACCATCTGGCCTTCTTTCCTTAGGTGAGGCTATGAATGATCACTGTGTCCCTGGGCACTCGCCCCTAAACAATCCTATGGTCACCATGCCCTTGGGCTCATTTCTGTAGCTCCACTGCTCCTCCTCATGCTCAGAATCCTGTCAAAGGGCAGAGCTAACCAGGTCATTCCTTGATCAAGCTTCTCCCCAGTTTTCTGCTGCTTCTATAGGGAACCCATGGATCACAGTGATTTTCACCTCCCAAGTCTGCCCTGTGGTCTTCACTAGCCAATGTGTGCCCTCCTTCAAGTCTCCCTCAATCCCTTGCACCCCTCTGTCTTCTCTCATGATTCTTTTCTGCACACTAGCTTTTTTGTGACTATGAAGCCCTAAGAGCAGCCAGGGCTCTCTGCTCCTTTGCTTCCTAATATGATCTGATGGCCACTTGCTGTAAGTTTATGGGGTGTCTGATTTTTCTTTTATGGCACCCTCAAGGGGAAATTAGTGTTAAGGGCAGTGAGGTTTTGTGGCCAGGCAGCTGACCAGTTAGCCAGTGTCCTAAACCCACTGGTTCCTGTGGGCAGGAGTGACTTGGTGCCCATCTTTACAAACTAGTCTCCCTGAAACTGTGTGGTCACAAACTAACAAGGACCCGTGTGAAGGCAAGATGTCTGGTAGTAGTGCAATGTCACCCTGGGACCCTACTGGACCCCTGGACACAGATACTGCTGCAGAAAAGACCCTGAACAGTCTGGGGCCCAGCTCACCAGAATGGAGATGAGCTGGACCTGATGGGAGGGCTGGATGTTCTCCAAGGCGGGTCGCTGCTTGAGCTTTGTGTAGAGCAGAGTCATGACCTTTCGAGCCAGCTTCCAGTTGGCAGCCAGGGCCATCCACAGGGTTAGGATCTGCCTGTGGAGACAGAAGCCTATGTCACCACTAACCGCCTAAGTGCACAGGCCATGTTGCCTCACAGCTCTAGAGGAAGCCCTGGAAGAGGGGAGACCTTCCACACACCAGTAAGTGTAGCTCCCCTGCTGACCATCAGCAAGGGTGACCTGCTGGGTGTGGTGACTGGGGAGGGGTCCTGGGTCTTTGTTCTGATAACTGGTGGAGGGGCTGCTCCAAGCTCTGAGCCAAGGTAGCTTTGCCTGGCATTTGCATGTACACCCATCCTGTGACGAAGGCATGGCCCTCCTCAGCCTGTCTCTTCTTTTAGAAAGGGAGGGACAAGCTCTTCGGATGGCCTGAAAAGAGAGCACCCTCAAAGCCAGGGACTACTGCAGACGCAGCGCTTGAATGTCTGCACCAGATCTCCCATGCATTTTGTGCACCTAGCACCTGTCTGACTTCAGATGTCTATGAAATGGTAACACATGGCTCCTCGCTGTGCAGTCCTGGGCTACACAGCCCCTAGTGCTGCTCATGGTTTGCAGATCAAGGATTCATCACCCATGGAGTGCACTCAGAAAACTCAGCATGGCAGCTAGAGCAGAGCATGTCCAGAACTCTGTGACTGGGGCCCTCAGCTCACGGGAGCCACCACTTACTAGTGTGTACCTAGCTGACCTCTGGCTCTGCAGCAGGTTGGCCATGGGATCTCTCTGAGTCTGAGAGACATTTCCATGCTAGATCCCCCTCCTGAGACCCTGGGAGCCTACACTCAATGCCCTCAGATCAGGTTAACGTTGCCTTCAGCTTGGATTCCAGGAAGCGGGTATGCCTGGCAGAAACCCTCAGGCACACACCTCCTGGTGCCTGCAGGAACCCTCAGGCACACCTCTCCTAGTGCCTGCAGGAACCCTCAGGCACACATCTCCTGTTGGCATCTCTGAGGGGCCACATAACAGTCTTTCTGGGTGGTAGACTGGGGAGGAAACCTACTTCTCTGAGGGGTGGCACAGGAACAAGAGCACTTCAACCACTTCTGGTGTGTGCTGAGTCCCCAGAGCTATCATGGCCTTCAGCATGATCTCCTGGGCTTTGCTGCAGTGAATTCTTGGTAGCTCCTGGAAGAGGCTGCGCAGGACTTCATTTATCTGTACAGGAGGGGCAGGAGGAGCAAACTTCAAATGAGACCAGAAAGTAGACAACAGGAGGACCTGGGATCCTATTGGGGTCCAGCTGTATGGAGCGGGCTCAGGGTTTGTGCCACTCTGCCCATTTTCACGCCCTCACTCTGCCTGTTTGTCCCTTGTAAAGTGGGATTCCATCCCCACAAAGGGCCAGCATGGAGCATCTGAGTGGGTAGGGCAGGACACCTATTTGTGACATTAGTTGAGGTGCATCTTGAATTACACTGGCCAAGCCAGACTAACTCACTATCTCTCACAAGCTGCTAGTGAGTCAGGGGGTGAATGCAATTGCAGTGGAAGGGATACCAAAAGAGGTTGCGGAAAGGGGCACCAGCAGTGGGAAGAGTGGCATGTGGGTGTGCACATGTGGTCAGTGCATATACCCCTTGGTGTGTGGCCATCCACTTCCCTTCTAGTATGTGCAGGGCAGTACAAGCCAGGATGAGGACAGGCACCATGCCCACCAATGAGAGCCTAAATGCCAGCCCACCTGCTCTGGCTTGATGCTGGGGCCTTCAAAGACCATCAGGAGGAACTTGGAGGTCAGTTGACACTGAAGAAGGCCGCAGCAGCTGAGGCTGTGCAGCAGCACGAGCACCAGCTGTGTGTGCTGTGCCACACTCAGGGCTTTGTTGAAGGCCTGTGCCCAGGGAAAGGGGGCAAGTTTCTCTGATCAGCATTGGTCTGGGTAGATCCAGTCTAGGGTCTCCCCAGAGATCGAATAAGGACTCTCTGCACCTCCACATAGATGCCTCATGCACAGATGCGTGGGGACCCCAAAACAGCTTACCCTGCCTCAGCTGCTCAGCCAGGCTGTCACTGGGTGTCTGAAAATGTAGCTATCACAGGTTCCCAGCTGCCTCCTCTCTGGAGAATTGCTCTGAGGCAATGAGAGCAAGCAGCCTTGCCTAGGACAGTAGGGTCCCCATTCTGAAGCCAGTGGACAGTGCCCTGCTAGTGTGTAGCTCAGCTCCTTGTGGCTCTTGCCCTTGCCCTACCTTGCTTCTGTTACCCCACTTCCTCTGAGAAAAAGTCCTTGGTGTACAAAAATCTCTGTCCACCGTCTTTTGAGAGGGAGCCCCTGAGACATAGGCTCAGCTAGGTGCATGGCCCAGGGGACTCCACCTGCACAAAGGTGGCACTGTCCCATGGCAGCCTCTCCAGGAGCAGGAGAGTCTCAGAGGTGAAGGGCCCTCATTTGAAAACCAAGACCCAGACAGATGGAATGTTCTACCCGAGGTGCCCTAGTGCAGTGCAGGGGAGGGCTGGGCCTGACAAGAAAATGTAGGGAAAGTGTGCAGGAGGGAACAAGGAACAGGGCCATTCCAGGTTGCCAGGCAGAGGGGCAGTGCCAAGACAGAACATCTCCTGCAAAACAAAATGACCTGTCTCCCTCCCAAGGAGCCTCAGAGGGAGGCCCAGAAGGTCGAGTGAGAACCTTAGGCCTGCTGTGCTCAGGTCTGGACAAAACTTGCAAGGTGAGGCAGAGGCAGGGTACTCTCCCTTGGAAGGGCAGGGACTGTTAGGCTGTTCCATCTTGGCTATGCCCCACTTGCTCCCAGGCATAGGCCACAGGCCCCATCTGTACAACCAGCTGAGGGAAGGAGAGAACAACAGAAATCCTACAGTTCTGGGGTCAAATGGGAGTACTCACCCCTGGGAGGCCTCACCTTCACCAAATGTTGGAGCTCTACCTCCCCTTTTCCAGAGGTCCTGAACTTGAAGCACTTCACCTTGCTCTGGCTCAGGTCCACCATTCTCTCTGTGTGGGACACAAAGTTAGTGGTCTTCCCCACCTGGGGAAGGAGCTCCCTGCCTCTGCCCCTTCTTGGAAGCTCACCCTTTTGCTGCATGGAAAGCTTCAGAAGTAAATACACACACTGGCGGGCAGGATTCTGGGTTTCTTCATCTGTGTCCCACCACAGCAGAATCAGCAGGCCTAGCTGGTGGCCCAGCATGGACGGTGTGGCCTCTTCCTATAGAGCAGGGAGTAAGTAGAGCCAGGCCTGGTTTCCCAGGGCCCCCTCTGGCCCTAGTATCTTATAAGAAGTGGCCTGGTTGGGTCAGAAAGGAGCTCCTGTTCCAATCCAGGTCAGCCCTATACCTCTCTGGCCTTAACATCCTCTTCTATGGAAGGGGCCCTTATTGTTGCCAATAATGAGAAATTGTGTCGTGCCCATTCTGATACCTTGGAGGCTCACATGCCTGCATTTCTTCCTCTGGGAAGCTGTAAGTTTTTCCCATTTATCATTATCATTCTCATTCTCAACAAGTTTTGTTTTGCTGTGCCTCACTATAGGTTTCTTCATATTTATCCTCTTCTGGGTTTATATTTTCCACCTGTTGTGTCTTCATTTCTTTCTGCCACAGTCTTCTCCCCTTCTCTTGTGACCCCAGTTATGCTTGATATTGCTTCACAGCTCATTGCTGCTTTGAATGATTTTAAATTTTTCTTTTTTGCTGTTATTAATAAAATCCAGGATCTTGAATATGCTAGACAACTGCTTTACTACTGAGTTATACCTCAGCCTCTGATTATTTTTTCTATAGTCTTTTTCCTTCAGTTTTTATAGGTTCTGTTGTCTTGTCTTTACATTTACTGTTTTCTCCTGCATTATCTGACCCACTAGTAACAGAACTCAGTGACTTTTTCACTTCAGGTACTGTATTCTGTTTATATTTCTACAATGCCTATTTGATCTTTTTATAGTTACCACTTATCTCTTGATATTTTGTATCTGTTCTATTATTATGTTCACTTTTTTCTTTAAATTGCTGAACATACAGTGAGGCACCGTTGAACGACTTTACTGTAGGCAAATTTTACTTGAATAAACTAAAGTGTGAGAAAGTGATAACATGCGTCTTACAATCACAGCATGTGTGCATGTGTGTGTACGAGTAACTATGTGTGTCTGTGCATGTGCATGTTGTGGGGGTGGTGTTAGTAGTCTGCAACCTCTCCTTTTAGTATCCAGCCTCAGCCTCAGAGATGCAGGGAGTGAACACAAATGGGCCTTGATGTAGGCAGGAGCTGCCTCTGGTCTCTGCATGGATATAAGGTTTCATTTCTCATCTCTGGAGTTTTGGCCCTGCCAGCGCCGTACGTTCCAGAGGCTGGGCAACCTGGGGTGAGTGTCCACGCACCATTCCTCCAAGCACAACTAGTTTGGGACCCTTGTTCAGCCCCGGAAAGGAAATTTCGCAGCTTCCTGTTGCACTGGACCAGCTAGGTGTTTCTTGAACCGGGATGCCCCACCCCTAGTGACCCACTCTCAATCCAGGGAACTGGGTGACCAGAGTCCCAGGAGCTGAGGGCATAGAAAAGGATTTCCAACAGGCCATGGGGAAGCCTTGGAATAACACTTGAAACATAGAAATATAGGAAAATGACAAAAAGAAAGACCAAATTACAATCTCAAACCTCCAGCCCATACAAACAAACCTTAGGAGCTATGTACATGGAATAAAATATATGCCATACACATGAAATATCAGACATAATAGCAACTGAAATAAAGAAGCAACTCTGGGAAGCTTTAAAGGAATTCAAACTAGAAATAATCTCCAGGTAAAACAAGAAATGATAAAAGAAATAAAAGACATGCTGAACATATCTAAAGAAGACACAGTTAAAAAATTGGAGAAACTAAACAAAAAAGGAGAATCCCTGAATAAACAACATAAAAAACAAAGAGAATACATAAAGCAGATTCAAAGAGATATACAGGAAATCAAAAATTCCATTGAAAGCTGTAAAAACCACCTCAATGAAAGTGAAGATAGAATTTCAGACCTTGAAGATAAAATTGCAATTAGTGAACAGGAAAGGAAAGATCTTTTAAAAATAACACAAAATTAAGAAATAACAATTCAACAGCTGCAAGATGATGCAAGAAAAACAACATAAGATTGAGAGGGATAAATAAAAAAGAAGGAGACAACATAAAGGTTGTCAAGAGACTATTTAGAGAAATAATAGCTGGAAATTTCCCAAACATGAGATTGGAAACTGATATCAGGATCAGTGAAGCATATAGAACAACAAATAGCCATAACCAAAATAAAACTACACCCAGACATATAATAATCAACATCTCAGAAATCCAACAAAAGAATAGAATATTAAAAGCTGTCAGAGAAAAAAGACAGATCATCTATAAAGGAAAACCTATGAGAATCACAGCAGACTTCTCACCACAAACAATAAAGTCAAGAGAAGCATGGAATGAAGTATTTCAGATCCTGAAGGAAAATGATTTCCAACCTAGAATGATGTACCCTGCAAAACTGTCCTTCAAAATCGATGGAGAAATAAGATACTTCAATGACAAAGAACAGGTGAAGAACTTCATGATCACCAAGCCAACCCTGCAAAGAATACTGAAAGATAGTTTAGATACATTAGGAAAAAACCACTAAGCAAAGCAGACAATTAAACAGAACAGAAAGATAAAGATGCAACAGCAGAAAGATAACATGTCAACAATAAAGCAACATTTAACAGTTATAACCATTAATGTAAATGGAATCAATGCACGAATTAAAAGAAACAGACTGGCAGAATGGATCAAGAAACAATATCCAACCAAATGCTGTCTACAAGAAACCCATCTAACCCAAAAGGATACTCACAGCCTGAAAGTCAAAGGATGGAAAACAGTATTTCAGGCAACAAGAACCCCCCAAAAAGTAGGGGTAGCTACTCTGTTTGAAGACAATGTGAACTTCAAACCAAGAATGATCAGAAGACATAAAGAAGGTCATTACATACTGGTTAGGGAAAATTTCAAGAGGAAGAGGTAACAATCTTAAATACATATGACCCTATTTCCTGAGCACCCAGTTATACAAAGCAAGTATTAATAGATGAAAAACCAAATTATCAACAACACAATTATAACAGGAGAACTTAACACACCATTGACACCAAGGGACAGATCAACGAGAGAAAAAATCAGCAAAGAAATAACAGAACTGAATCACATCTGTGAACAAATGGACTTGATAGTCATACACAGAGTGTTCCATCCAACATCAGAATACACATTCTTCTCACCAGTACATAGGACATTCTCTAAAATATACTATATACTAGCCCTCAGAACATATTTAAATAAATGGAAATGACTTGAAATTATCCCATACATGTTATTGGATCATAGTGCATGAAACTAGAAATTAGTGATAAAAGAAACTGCAAAAATCCCACAAACATTTGGAAACTGAATAACACACTCTTGAGTAATCAGTGGGACACAGGGGGAATTAAAGAAGAAATTAAGCAATACCTACAAGCAAGCGAAAATACAAATACAACTTACCAGAATCCTTGGGATGCAATGAAAGCTGTCCTCAGAGGAAAATTTATTGCACTGATATTCCATAACAGGAAAACAGAATGAGTACAAATAAACAACTTGATGTTACACCTGAAACATCTAGAAAAAGAAGAGCAAGTCAAGCCCAAAGCCAAAGAAGAGAGGAAACTATAAAAACCAGAGCAGAAATTAATGCAATAAAGACTAAGAAAACAATCCATAGAAGCAATGAATCAAAGAGTTGGTTCTTTGAAAGCATAAATAAAATTGATAAGCCCCTAGCCAACCTTATTTTAAAAAGGGAATAAAAAGCTCAAATTCATGCAATAAGGAATGAAAAAGGCAAAATCACTACAGACTCTGTAGAAATACAGAAGATCATCAACAACTATTTTGAAAACCTCTACTCTCATAGGTTTGATAACATAGAAGAAATAGACAGATTCCTAGAAACAAATGAAGTACCAAAGCTAGGTCAAGAAGTTGTAAAACTGCTGAATAACCCAATCTCTATTAATGAAATTGAAAATGTAGTTAAGTCCTTACCTACAAAGAAGAGCCCAGGCCCACATGGATTCACTGCAGAATTCTACAAGAAGTACAAAGAAGACTTAATGCTGACACTACTCAAACTCTTCAATGAAATCGAAAGGGAATCAATCCTTCCTAAGTCATTCCTGGAAGCAAATATTACTCTAGTACCAAAACTGGAGAGAGACTCAACTAAAATAAAGAACTACAGACCAATCTCCCTAATGAACACAGCTGCAAAAATCCTCAGTAAAATATTGGCAAATAGAATGCAACAAATCAAGAAGATTATACACAATGACCAAGTGGAATTCATCTTGCAGGGATGGTTCAACATAGGTATAGCAATAAATGTAATCCACCATATCAATAAAACCAAAAGTAAGAATCACATGATCATTTCTATAGATGCAGAAAAAGCTTTTGATAAGGTCGAACATTCATTTATGATAAGAACCTTACAGAAAATTGGAATAGATAGTCTTTACCTCAATATAATAAAGGCCATCTATGACAAACCCACAGCTAGTATCATACTAAATGGCCAAAAATTGAAGGCCTTTACATTAAAATCAGGTACAAGACAAGGATGTCCCTTATCACTGCTTCTATTTAATATAGTACTGGAAATACTAAACAAAGCAATTAGACAAGAGAGAGAAATAAAAGGGGTAAAGATAGGAAAAGAAGAAGTTAAATTATCATTATTTGCAGATGACATGATACTCTACATAGAAGACCCCCAAAACTCCATTGAAAGACTCCTAGATATAATAAACAAATTCAGCAATGTAGCTGGATATGAAAATCAATACTCAAAAATCAATAGCATTCCTATAGACTAACAATAAAATCACTGAGAGAGAAATAATAGAAGCCACACCCTTCACACTAGCAACCAAAAAAAGAGAAATATTTAGGAATTACTCTCATGAAAGAAGTGAAAGACCTATACAGGGAAAATTATAATACACTGAAAAAAGAAATTGAAGAGGATCTCAGAAAGTGGAAAGACATCCCTTGCTCATGGATAGGAAGAATAAATATTGTGAAACTGGCCATTCTCCCAAAACTGTTATACAGATTCAATGGAATCCCAATCGAAATACCATCAACATACCCATATATTTAGAGAAATAATTCCTAAAACTCATCTGGAACCAGAAGAGACCTAGAATAGCAAAGATAGTTCTAAACAGCGAATGCAAAGCAGGAGACATCACAATACCTGACTTGAAGTTATACTACAAAGAAACTGTAGTAAAATCAAGAACAGACTGGATTCAAAACAGAGCTGAAGATCAATGGAACAGATTAGAAGATACAACCACAAGTACAAACACACTCAACCACCTTATCTTTGATAAAGGAGCCAAACATGTTCACTGGAAGAACGACAGTCTCTTTAATAAATGCTGTTGGAAAAACTGGTTTTCCACATGCTGAAAACTAAGACTAGATCCATGCCTATCACCATGTACTAAATTTAAATCTAAGTGGATCAAAGATCCGAATCTTAAAACAAAAACACTAAATTTATTGGAAGACAAATTGAGTAAAAAACTTGAAGACATAGGAGTAGGTAGAGAATTCATGAACAGGAATCAAACTGCATGGGAAATACTTCCCAGAATCAACAACTGGCAACATGTCTTATTAAAAAGTTTCTGCATGTCAAAAGAAATCTCTAGCACAGTGAAATGAAAACCTACAAACTGGGAAAAAAATCTTAGTGAACTGTCCCTCAGACAAAGGACTTCTGTCTAAAACATATAATTTTAAAAAATCAGACCCCCAAAATTCAAAGATCCAATCCAAAAATGGGCATCTGAGATGAATACATAATTCTCAGATGAAGAAATACAAATAAATACATGAATAAATGTTCATCATCATTACTCATCAGAGAAATGCAAATTAAAACCACACTGAGATTCCATCTCATTCTTGAAAGAATGGCCAGGATCAAGAAAACCACCAACGACAAATGCTGGAGAGGCTGTGGGGGAAAAGGATCTCTCTCCTGCACTGTTGGTGGGAGTGTAGACTGGTGCAACCATTGTAAAAGCCAGTCTGAAGATTTCTCAAAAAGCTCGAATTAGAAGTCTCATTTGTTCCAGCTATTCCACTCTACTTCTAGGCATATTCCCAGAAGAATTTAAAGCATCATACCACAGTGATATATGTTTACCTGTTTATAGCATCACAATTTGTAATAGCCAGATCTTGACCAAATGTATTCTTTTTTTTTATCGGTACGGGGGATCGAAATCACGACCGCCTGCTTGCAAGGCAGGTGCTTATGCTACTGAGCTAAACCCCCAGCCCAATAGCCAGATCTTGGAAACAACCTAACTGTCCATCAACTGAGGAAAGGATAAAAAAAAGTTGTAGTATTTTCATACAATGGAGTACTAGCCAGCTATAAAGAATGATCACATTGAGATATTTATAAATAAATGGGCGCAGCTTGAGACCACACTCTCAAGCAAAGTAAATCAAACTCACATGTATAAATACTGAATAGTTTCCCTAGTGTAAGAAATGATAACAATGCATAGAAGTATGTGGTAATCATGATTCCCCATTATATTGCTTATAATGTTTTCATTCATTAATTGGAATGGTTTTATTCTGGGCTGTTTGATTTTATTGTCTGTGATGGTATGAATAGCTATTTTGAAGAAAACAAAACATCATAATAGCTAGTGCTGATTTAATATTATCTTGTTTTGAAGTCCCATTAAGCTTTCGTTCTTCTGTCTCCATAGGTCTTAACATGTATCTTATTGGATTTTATTATATGTGATAGTACAAACAAAAACTTTTATAGACAAGGAGATAATATAGAATCCATTGTTCATTTTCTGTTAGTTGGTTCTAAGTACCCTGTAATACTGTCATTCTCTTGAATGGCTTTACATTGTCTTGATATGTTTGATGCTACAGTATATGAAGTTATACTCAAATATTTCAAGGAAAGAGACTCTATGGTAACTACTGTTATGTCGGGATATCTTGCAGTGAAACACTATGTTGCTTAAATTGTTTTGTTCTGACCTGTCCTGTTGTGTTGTTATGTCCTTTTTTATTTTTATTTTTTTAATTAAGGGAAAAAATAAATTTAAAAATAGCAAGGATATATTATAGTAACCACTTTGATTTCCTATTAACTTGATTTGAAGCCCTGTATTGCTCTCACTATCTTGTTTTGGCTGATTTTTACTCTATTCTGTTTTGCTTGATAGTATCAAGTTTGTTGGTATAGGCAACTACTTTGAAGACAATAAGATTCACTATGATGCTCATTCTGGTTTGACTATTATCTTCTTTTGAAGTCCTGTAATGTCTCCAATGTTTTGATTTAGTTGGTTTTGTTCTGTACTATTTTGTTCCACTTTATTATAACTGATGATATAGGCAATTCTTTTTAAGATAGCAAGAGGCATTATGGTAACCTAGGTTGATCACCTTGTATTCTGTTTTTACACCATGTACTATATCCATCCTTTTGATTTGACTGACTCTGTTTTGTTATGTCACATTTGGTTTTATCCTCTTCAAAAAAGAAATAGTAAGAACTGTGGGAGTAATAACACCAAAAATGTGTAATTGTTATTGTAAAAAAGAGAAGAAAAGAAAGTGCTCTAAAGGATATAACGACATGTATATTTAAGATAGATGACCATATTACTCAGTTTTGTTGGATCATTGAACAGAACTATTTGCAGTCTCACTGTTTGAATGTCCACTTTGCATGCTTTAATTTTGTAACTTGAACAACTATGTAATATGTAATCTATTAACTAGTGATTTCTTACTGTTCATTTTTTTGAAATTGTGTATTACTTGTACCATTTTTCTGTTTTTTTTTCTGTTTCTCTTTAAATAAATTTTTTAAAAAAAGTTTTCATTTCTCTTCAGTACCTAGGGATGGAACTGTGTGGTTAGAGTTAAGCCTGTGCTTAACTCTAACAGAAACTTCTGGAAGTTCTGCTGAGTGGTTGTCACCATTCGCACTCTCACCTCGCTGTGTGGTGTTTCTGGCTGGTCCACTCCTGCTACTCTTGGTATCAGCAGCCTTTGATTCTACCCTCCTACTGGGTCTATGTGGGTATCTATCTCATCATGGTTTTGATTTGCATTTCTTTTGTAATGAATTAGGCCAGGCCTGTATGATTTAATGTGCTTTACAATATGCCTATCTAAATATTTTTCCCACTTGAGGACCTGAGCTATCTTTTTACCGGGCCACAGGAGCTTATTATACTTTACAGATACAAGTCCTTTATTAGGTACCCCCACTGTGCATTTTTCCTGGTCTGACTCTTGTCTCTGTTTCTAATTTTGATGAATTCTATTTAATCAATATTTCCTCAACAGCTACAGTCTTCTACATTCCGTCCAGGCAGTCTCTGCCTGTCCTGATTGTGTAAAAGGATCTGTCTTCCTCCATAGATGTCACGGTTCTGGGTTTGCACCCAGTTCTGCTGCTCCCAATGTTCTTTTGCTTCTGCTGTGAGCTGGGACAATGCTGTTCTTATAAGGAACTCTGCTTGTCCCTGCACTCCCTGGCCAAAGGTTTTCTTTCCTGCTTAGCACCTCAGCAGGCAGCAGCAGAAGGTCCTATTGCTTTCTTTTTGCTCATGTCTTACCAACGCTGACTTGTTTCATCTACAGAATTGCTTGGCTTCTCTGGTTCCTCCTAACACTGTGGCCTTCTTGTACCCTTAGAGGGTTGTTTCCTCTGGGATCACTCTTCTCCCAGATAGCCATGGCTCCCTCCCTTCCTGCCTTCAAACATTTGCTCCCTGCTAGTGGTAGCCTTCTTGTCTAATGTCCTTCTATTTAAACTGCAGCTGCCTCTGGCTTGGCATGGGACTCAAGGCAGGGCCTTTGCCCTCTGCCCCTTATACCCAGTAGCTTGCATGTGCACAAACTATTCCAATTCTTGGAAGCTTCTGGAATGGTCTACTGGGTAGACATCTACCTTCCACCCACCACATAAGTGCTCCCTGGGGCATGGGGCAGAGACTCACTGTGGACTTCAGGATGTCCTCCGCGTACTGCAAAAGCAGGAGAGTAGACTGCACAGCCCGCTGCCGCTCATGGCTCTCGACTGACTGTAGCCAGTGCTCCATGTGCTGGGTTGAAAGAGTAGGTCTGAGGACCAGCTCCTGTAAGCCTGTCTGCATCCCAGTTCCCACCCAAACCTGTGTAGGACTGACTGATAAGGGCAAGAGTGGCCAGGCAGACCATCACACAGGTCCCTGTTATGCAAGAACCAACTTCTCCAGCTGAGGAACTACCTCCCAGGTTGGGCTTGGGGCCACCTGAAACACGAGACCAGACTTTTCCTGCTCTTGCACAGGAAGCACAACACCAACCAACAAGTCCACAGGACACCCCCTAGGCATCTTCCAGTTTCACTCAGTTCTGACATTGTCACTTGGAAATGGATCAGATCCCCAGGCTGAGGGCTCAGTACTTGTGATCACCCCAACTATGGCAGCTAATGGCAGTAAATGGAGTATATTGACTTATCTTTCATTATAAAGGGCACCTGTACACTCCTGAGTGTCTGAGGGTTTGGGGGTAGGTAGATCATAACCAGGGCCAAGTACAAGGGCCAAGTACCATATACGTTCATAACACCATAGGCCATACTAGAGCTTCCAGATCTTCAAGAAGCGTGAGCTCTGCGTCTCTGGAGACAGCATACCAAAGGCCTCATGCTATATAGGCACAGGATGGGGAGCAGGGGAGACCACATAAAGATCTTAGAAGCCTCTTTCCTCTGTTTCTTGAGTCACTTCAAGGATTTGGACACAGTCTCTGTGCCTGGTATTTCCTTTGGATCTGTCTGCCTCTCTAGTACTGCTTATTTCCCCTGTCCCTAGACTGTCTTGTTCCTGGCTGTACCTCTGGCTCCCTGGATGCTGTCCTGTCCCCGAACTCCAAACAGAGATGCTAACTATTGACCCCCACATTTGGGGTTCTTTCTCAAAGGGACATTGTCCAACAGGGCAGAGGCAGAGGAGACATCTGTATCCTGAACTGGTTAGCTGTGGCTCCACCTAAGCCTCAGCCCCACTCAAGCTCTGGTCAGTGGCACCTACAGTAAGCACTGTGAGCTTGACAGAGCCTCAAATGAGACTAAAGCCTTTGACAGTGGGGAGTCTGGCTCCTCAAACTTTTTGTGGCCACCCTGCTAGAAAATCCACAGAAATGCAAAGGAGTATGCCTGATACCCCTCAACCCCAAGCTTGCCACAACCACCCACAAAACTGCAAAGGATTATTCCTGACATCCTTGAGTCCTTTCCTTGCCAAGGGTACCCATAGAACTGCAGAAAATCATCCCAGACTCCCTTCAGTTCTAGTTTGGCAGAGGACCATTGCTGATATCCTGAGTCCTGGCTGGGCTATCTACAGGCCTGGGCTGCACTCCAGCCTCCTTCACCCTTCCATGGGCCCCAGACTGTCACAGAGTAATCTAGGGCTGGACAAGTTCCCTTCAGAGCCAGGAGGAAAGCATCCATCCTGTGTCCAGCACCCACTAGCAGGCCTCACACTTCCCTTTCAGCCATATGGCACTCCTGGGGACGCACCTGTGCCTCCGTGTTCAGGGCAGGGCGTGGGATTACATAGAGTAGTCTTCCCCTTTCTCTAGCTCTAGTCATCAGCAGGTCAGAGGTGAATGTGGCCCTATCAGGCCTGTTTCCCTTATGGGGCCCTTCTAGGCTGCAAAGCTTGGCTCTTGCTAAATACAGCACCCAGGGCCAGTCACAGATGCTGTCAGCCCCTCCACGAGGGCATCTACTCCCACAGCACCCCTTGCCAGTGCAGAACATTCAAGCAGTAGTGTAGGAGCATGCAGAAGACAAAACTTTTGCATAGTTGCACAAATCATCTGCCGTCACTGAAGCCCTTTGATTCTGGAAACAGCACAGGTTCCCTTGGACCATACAGCAGGACCCCGGAAGTGAGACTTCATGCCTGACTGTGGAGCTGAGGTAGGATCCCAGGGATTTGATGTGTCCCTCTGCCTCCCACTTTGCTTTCCTCTCCTAGTCTATCTCATAGCACAGCGGGTTGCTTGGCTGGGGCTGGAGCCCACCTCACCTGCAGGAGGAAGCAGACCTCATTCATGCTGGGGTTCTCAGACAAGAAGCTCTGAAGGAGCAGGTCGAGGGCGTGCACTGTCTTCTTGTATAGCCCCTAGTGGGAGAACCAGGTCAATTGGTATTATACCCTTGCCCTCCCTACCTCTGAGGCCTCTGGGTGTCTGCCTTGGCCCTGCCCCAGTGGTTGATGACAGACCCTGCAGGTAGGAGCCATGGGAAACCACAGAATCTGCCATGAATAGGACAATATAGGTATCTCAGGGGAGGGACACCCTAGTTGCTTGGGGAGGGTGCTCTTGCATATCTAGGACCTCTGTAGCTCCCTGCTGCTCCTCTCAATCTGCTGTGATCCTGCCCCTGGCCAGCCTGAGGGCTGCAGATTTCTTAGGACTCGAGAAGGCAAGACATGCTGTGGATGCAAGTGTAAGCACAACTGGAATCCTTCTCTCACAGGCAGAGCACTTCTTGAGCACAGGGACAACATGCGCCAGGAAATGGGCTCTGCCTCCAGGATGCCCATCACAGGTGAAGAAGTAAGCAAACAGCAAACATCCAACAAGAGGAGTGAGCATCTAAGCAAGTTCTCCATCATATGTTGGCTGCTGATTTTAATTGCCCTGGAGAAGGAGATGATAATGATGGTTAGCACGTAAAACAAAGACCCATGCCTAGCACCACACCGAATAGTGAAATTAGTTGCTTTTCCACTCAGTCTGGGAGCAAGTTGGAGCTGTCCACTCTCACCACCACTACTGAAAGCTGTACAGAAGCTCTAGCAAGTGTCATAAATTAAGAATGAGCTATGAAAAGTACCCAGATTTAAAAGGGAAAAAGTAAACTGCCTTTATTCAAATAAGTCATGCATAAAGTCAGGTACAGTGGTTCATGCTTGTAATCCTTGCTACTGGGGATGCTCAGACAGGATGACCAAGAGTTCAATGGCAACCTGGCAACTTAGAGTCTGTCCAAAATAAAAACTGAAAAGGGTTAGAGATGTAGCTCAGTTCCCCTAGGTTCAATCCCCAATTGCCTCAAGGAGAAAAGAAAAGTCATGTATAACATCCTATGAATTATCTTATGCGCATATGGGATGTAAACCCATTAACTTTTCACCAAAATGTGAAGGCAACTGAATAGAGAAATGATGGTCTTTTTAACAGGTGATTTGGGAACAGGTGGATACTCATCTGCAAAGAATTAAACTTCAATCTGTACGATATACCTTACAGGAATTAATTTTAAAAAGATCACAGATTGTTATGGACTGAATATTTGCATCCTTCCAAAGATATATGCTGAAATCCTAACCCCAAGGCGATGGTGTTAGGTGAGACATTCATGAGGTAAAGCCCTGGTGACGATAAGTTCCCATATGAAAGGGGCCCCAGAGACCTCTCTGGATCTTTTCCTACCAGTCAAGAACATGGAGAAGTCAGTATCTGCATCCTGGAGCAGCCCTCACTGAAGCCAGTCACCCGGTACCCTGATTTTAGGCTTCCACCATCAGAGCTGTGAGAAGCACAGATAGTTGCTTATAAGCTATCTAGGCTATATTTTGTTACAGCTACTCAAGTGGACTAGGACTTGGACCCAGGTAAAAATCCTGGGTACAAAACTTCAAGGAAGAAGTACAAGATGAAGTCTTATGACCTGGGCTAAGAAAATATATTTTCAGTACAATGGCCAAAACATAGTCCATGAAAGAAAAAGATAGTTGAGTCCATTTCCTCAACATTAACAACTTCTGCTCTTCAGAAGACAGTATTAAGAGGACAAGAAGCCACAAATTGAGAGAAAATATTTTCAAATCATGCATCAGATGGTCTCACATTTAGAATATAACAGGAAATCTAAACAGATAAAAAGTCCAGTGTGAGGAAGTAACCATTTGAGCTAAAGCCAACCCCTAAGAGGAAATCTAAAAGTTACCTAACACCTGAGGATTTCACCCCATTGTAAAGGTAGCTTTGACATTTGGATACATCACCAAAGGTAGAGATGTAAATGAGCACCTGAAAAGATGCCCGACATCATTAGAAGGAAACGAAATTCAAAATCACAGTAAGTTACACATATCAGAATGGTCCATGTGTCAGAGATGCATGGTACCCAGTGATGTCAAGGACAGGAGCCACAGGGATCTAGGGCACTGCTGTGGATATGATGTAGCACATGCTTTTTGGAAAACAGGGGGGCAACTTGCTAAAGAGTTAAGCATATGCCTGTCATGGGACCTAGCAATCATCCATAGGGATTCACTCAGCAAACCCTGAAACACGTGTCAGTCCATATGGAGACCTGAACATGAACGTTCACAGCAGCCTTCTGGGTAACAGCCACACCTGGAAATAAGCCCCATGCCCATCATCCAGACAGCAGGCACTGAATGGCAGCATATCCAGGAAGTGAAAAGGCCCTCAGCAAGAATGGTCTACCAGTGTAAGCCACAGCAACATCGCTGGTGAGAGGAAAGAACCAGTCAAAGGTAAATGAGTACTATATGATTCTGTTTATATTAAATTCTTCAGAGTGCAAAAGGATGCTCAGTGATGGAGTGGGCTAGTGTGTCAGTGGAGAGAGATGAAGAAAAACACCCACAAGGAACCAAGGGGAGGATCTCAGAGAGCACAGGAAGCTTTGGAGACTGACTTGATTTTGATGATGGATTCATATATATACCTGTAAAAATGTACACAAGTGTACACTCTGAATGCCTGAGGTGTTCTGTGTCTCAATTTTACTTTAATCGACCTTAAAACAAAATACTTCCTTCCTGAAGGTCGAGGGTTTGGCATCCTCAAAGTGTAGAAACTGGCTACTGGGACTCCTCTGAATCTAGAGACATTTGTGAAAGAAGGCAGGGCTGCTGTTCTGCCCTCCTGAGGGCCCTGGCACCATTCCTCAACTGTGGCAAGCCATAGGGATTGCCTGACACAGTCTGTCTGGTGTTAGAGCATGGCCTGTGGGAGGGCCTGACTAGCCTAATGACTGGCCCAGTAACTGCCAGGCCCAGATGAGCAGCAGAGGGCCAGGACTCCCACAAGACCGGCTGCCACTCCCTGGTGACCCCCCTGGAGACAGGCTTCCCCAGGAGCCCACCACATCCTCAGACCCCTGCAGGAATAAATGCCCAGTGGACATCCATGCTGACCTCTGTCTAGCAGATTGCTCCAGGAGCCCAGCACACACACACAGCACAGGTCTATTCCATGGCCTATTTGCTTTTCCTGATAACCAGGTTGTGGTTGTGGGGACATCCATCATCCACTGTTACTGCAGGCCCCACACAAGGCCTGGCACAGGGGGCAGACCATAGAGGCAGCTGCACCCCATCTGAAGACAGAGCTGTCCCAGTCTAAGGTGTAGTGGTGGTGGAGGGGACATGCTTTTGGCTCCTAGGATGTGACAAATCCTTGCTGTGTGCTAAGTGTGGGCAGGAGCAGTGGGAGGCCTGGGTATGCCGGCCTGCACATCTCTGACTCATGGCTCTGGAAAGGACAGGGTCCTGAGGCAGGAACATCCCCTGCCTACCAGGCTGAGGACAAAGCACCAGGAGCACCTGAGGCTGTGGGGAGTTTGTAGGCTCGGTGAAGCTGAGTCATAAAGGCTGAACAAAGCTCACAGAACTGCAAGAGACCCAGAGCTAGAGTTTCTCCAAGGTCATAGCAAGTCTGTGTTGCAGTCAGCATGGAACCAAACCTGGAATCTAGCTCCTTCCTTGAGCCCTCCCCCAAGCAGAGCCCAACCCCTAGCCCAAAGAAAGAGGATGGCTGGAGCAAGTGGTCACCATGACATCGATGTCAGGGGATGGGTCCAGTGAAGGTAGACTCCTGAACAGCTCCTTTGTAGGGGGCAGCATATATACACTTCGTAGGCAGACTTCTAGGACCCTGGACTTGACCCAAGGCTGGAGGCTGGGCCGCAGGTTGCTAAAGAAACCAGGGAAGACTCCTTTGTACAGTCACGACTTGGGTAGACCTGACTAGGGCTCCCCACAAATCTGGTAGGCACAAACTAGTGTCATCTGCATACAAGCTTGCCTCAGACTCCAGGTGGGCAGGGGAAATGGAGTGTATTTGGACTGGGAGGATCCCATGTCAACAGGGACTGCAGTCAACCCAATGCCTTGTCTTCATCCCTTGGGTTCTTTGGTACTTGTTAGAATCTTGGGGATTATTCTAGGGTTAAGATAAGGCTGTGAGTCCATTTAGAGAACATTGAGTAGCAAAGGTCAATACTTAATTTGTGGTTAAGGCCATGGTTTAAGGGGAAACACTGTCACGGCTTTTTGTGTGACCAGGGTGAGGGCTCAGCTGTGACTTAGAACAGTTTCAGAGGTAAGCTGGGTCAGGGCTCAGTGTGTGTCAGCATTATGAATGTATCTTAGTCATGAAATGAAGCAAACCTAACCTCCATGTGTGATAGGTCCCAGTCTCAGCCCACCCAACTCTGTTTTAGCACCTGGTGCCATCCCTGTCCCTTATCTTTGGCATGCTGAGCCCCATCCATCCTCAGAGGGCCTGGCCTGTCTTTGTCCTGGACTCCAGGGAAGTTACCTCAGTCCTACAATGACCAAGATGATCTTCTGCCGGGAGAGGGTGGCCAGGAAGTTGGGCTCTTCCTGGAGGATCCACTGGGAAGGCAAAAGGAGGCCCCAGTGGCAGTAGCATCTGGACCAGTCACTGAGCTTCTTCGCCCTCTGGGTGATCCAAAGGGCAGGATGGCTAGCATGTCACTCACCAAGAGACACTGGATGAACTCTGGTATCTGGGTGAACTTGTACCTCTGGACACCATAGTCCCGCCTGAGCACACTGGTGAGCAGGACAGCAGCCGAAAGGAAGTTGGCTTTGAGGACATCGTCCTATGGTACACAAGTGCCCAGATTAGGGGACAAATGACAGAAATCTTGTCACATTACCAATGTTGACCAGGGTGCCAGCTAATGCAGGTGCACACACAAGTTCAAACAGCACACCCCACAATCATATATCCCCATACCACATCCTCACATTCTTATCTACACAGTCCACACTCAGATATCCACACAAACACTCTCACACTTACATATGCTCATAGCACACACCCATACATACAAATCCTCATGCCACACCTTCACACACATCCAGAGAGGATACACAGAACACAGCTTATACACAACATATGTGCACCACACACGCAACATGCATAACGTGTATACTCCCTCCCCCTGCAAACCCCAGCAGCTCTGATGGTCCAGGGTGGTGAGTTCTAGGCCGTTTGCTGTGTCTCCTGGGTTTCTGGAGTCCCTGGATGGGGTTTTCTTAGATGTGAAAAGCACACAGCTTCCCCTGCCATCCTTACTGCCTGGTCCAGTTAGACCCTGTCTCAGCCACCTGCAGCCAGGGCACTGGACCCAGCATGCAGGGATCAGGACCCATGGGCTTTGCCTGTCAGGTCCTGCTGCCTCAGAGGTCAGCATAGAGACCAGCAAGGGGACCTGAGGTGCCCTTCCCGCCCACCTCCCTAGAGACGGAGCAGGGCTCACACAGCAGTTGCAGGAAAAGAAGTGCACCATCCAGGAGATGATACCGTCTACCCAGGGCAGGATCTGCTCCTTGGCATGTGTGGCCATCTGTCCATAGCACAACAAGGAGGTACTGCTGACCCATTTCCAGTGCAGGTCTGCGTCTGGAAGCTGCAGGTGAGAGGGTGGCAGGGACTGCTAGCTGTCGGCCCCAGCCCACTCCAGGCCTTCATAGCCCACGCCAGGCCCTCACAGCCCACACCAGCTTCCTGCCTTGGGAAGCCAAGCCCTTGGCATAGGTCCAGGGTGATGATCAGTTGTATCCACACCCCACAGAAGCCAGATCCCAGGCCTGGTACCAACCCTCACTTTCAGAAAACCTTTCCAGCCAGCACCCTCACATAGGCAGGTTTTCTATTGCCTACTCCTCCTAGCACAGCTACTGGGGCAAGAAAATGAAGCGGCTCAATGTACCCTCCTGGGTCAGGTGAACGAAGGAAAACTCAGGCTACACACACCTACAGTCCCAGGCAGCCTCCATGACCTCAGATTCTGCACCCAATAGAAGCTCTGAACTCTGCCCGTGGGTCCCAATAATGCAAAGCACAGAAAAGGTCTTCATCTAACCTTGTCCCACATACCAGCCCTCTGGGACCCCCTTGTTACCAGCAGGCATGCAGGCTGACTGAGGCACTCCCTGCCCTGTACTACCCTCTGTAGAATGGCCACTAGGGGCCTCGCTACCTGTGCTTCGGGGGACAGGTTCCTCCACCTCAAGAACCAGGTACTGCACAGTTGTTCCAGCAGGGCCCACACCTCCTCCAGGTGCTTAGTGGATGCCAAGCCCACAGCCAGTGCAATGTCCTGTGGGGTGGGGTACCAGAGACCCTCAGGCCCTCAGGTGATGGGGTTGGATATTTCTGGTACCCTGAGGGCCCATTCCTCCCAAGTGGAAACATCCTCGCTGGGTGGGGCCTGTCAGCACCCAACAGTGCTCCTTGCTGTGAGCACAGGAGACTGGACCCACAAGAGTGCAGAATTAAGAGAGCCAGGAACCTCAAGGGCTCAGCTTACCTCCTGCTGGCTAGAGTCCTGGGGAGACAGCTCCAGAAGACAGGTGAGGTATCTCTTTACCAGCGCCATATCTGTGCACTCACAAAGGATCAGACCAAAGAGGCGGAAGAGGAGGGTCTGGGCAGCAAGAGGGGATGGTGAAGCACTGGACCAGTGGCCAGCTGGGGCTGAAACCCACCCCAGGCCTGGGGCTGGTCTGCTTGCAGGGCCCTGTGGGGGTGGGGCTGGCAGCCCAATGGTGTGTCCACTCGGGTGTCCATGCGCAGTGCTCTGAGGCAAGGGGCTGGGCACCCAGAGGGTTTATCTGTCTGTAGTGACTCTTACAGGTGATTCCCAAACACTGTGCTGATTACTGTACCACCCGAAGACTTAGGCCTTCAGTTCTGGGCTCTTCAAAGCATCCCTTGAGTGTCACTGTATTCCATGCTCACAGCTAGGTCTGTCGTCTTATCACCTCCCACCCTCTTGGGGAGCTCTGAGTGGTCTGACCAGGCACTAACCTTGTTTGTGGCTTGCTTGGGTTCCAGGCACAGGGACTCCAGGAGATTCTGCAAGCTGATGTCTATGTCCATCACATGCTGCTGCCTTGGGAGCTGTGGCAGAGCTCAGTGCTCAGACCCTCACCTCCTGCCCCTCCTGAACATAGCCTAGTGTGGACAGGACTAAGAGCCTTCTGGATGAGGAAAGAGTGAGGGGCAAAGCCCCTACAGCAGCCAGGGACTCAAACCTGAGTGATTCTGGCTTCTGCTACAGGCCCCAGCAGATCCCTGCCCTTTGGATAGAAGTTAAGTACCTTAATGTGGCTAGCAAGCCAATCTGACATCTGGGAGTGCTCCTGCCCTGTGTGCTGCTTCGATGCTAGCTCCTGGGCCTTCGCATAGCTAGCTCCCTCTGACTGGACACCTTTCCATACCCACCCACTCCCATCTGAGCCCAGCTGCGTATACTTGCAACAGGACTTCTATAAGTACACAGGCCCTACTGTATTTCCTCCATCAGCCCTCAGCCCTCAAACAATCTGTCACTCACAGTGGCCCAGGGAAGCGGCTGCAGCCTCCAGAGGCTAGAGATAAAGACTGGAGTAGACATTTGGAAGACAAAGGTCAGGACAGCCCTGCCCACTCAGGATATACCTGACCTGTGGTGGCATTCAGGCTTTCAAGCTGGTCTAAAGGATCCCCCAACATTCAGAGTGCTGGGTCCTGTCATCCCCACTCTATGCTCAAAGCCAGTTTGAAGTCACAGGAGGCCTGAGGTGTGGGGGTGTCTTGGTCAGTAGGAGGCTCTGAGTGGGCACAGGTTGGAGGGGCCTGGAGCCTGGGACTTGGGTGTCTGCCGAACCACCTGCTGATATAGAGTAGTCACACCCACCCTAACTCCCTTGAACCTTCCAGCACTTCCTGTTGGAATGCCAGGGGTTCCAGGGGCACAAAGGTCTTGAGAGTCCAACTGTGGTTGCTGGCAGTGACAGCCGTGCAGTGAGCTCCCCCAGGATCCTGCAGGTCTGAGACTCTACGGGTTCAGGGCCACAGAAGACTTTCCCCTAGTATGAAGGCACCCTGGGGCCTTACCTGGGTGTGCCCTTCCAGGTAGTGACGAATGATGTCCAATGCCAGGCCTTGCTGTGCAACTGACATGGCCCTGATCCTGCTGACTAGCTGTCTCTCCAGGGGTAAGAGGTCACTGCAGCACTCTCTCACACTGCCCAGGAGCCCCAGGTCTGAAGAAGGCTCAGAGCAGAGGGGAAGTTTGAGAGTCACTTGTCAGTCCATGTGATCTCAGGCCCCACAGCTGTTACGGGCTGCCCAGGAGATCCCAGGTCCCCTGGCCGTATCCCAGCACCTGTGGCTGCAGAAACCACTTTCCTTAAAATGCCTTTGAAGGAATGGAAAGCACAGTATGCAGAGGGCAGATGCATTGCAGAGTTCTGTCAACCAAACCAAAGCAAGGCCAGTATGCAGCTCAACAGCCTGGGGACAGAGCTGGGACCCAGGCCACTCACAGCACCACTCACTTCAAAACTTCAGACCCGGTAGGGGAACATGGACAGACCAGTGGTGCCACAGTAATGGCCAGCAGTGTGAGCAGCAAGTTACCCTGGACCCAAATGTACTCCCACACCAAAATAGAGAGCAAACAGTCAACATATTTAAATTGTAAAACTAAAACTATACTCATACCGAAGAGATCATGAATTTTGTCATCTCTAATTCAGGTTTGTGGGAGGGCTTTGTAAATATCAAATAAAGACAAAAAACAAAGGAAATGAGTTTTTACAGCCAGCAACATACTTTTTAAAGTGTGGACCACCGCCAAATACTGCAAGCAAAACTAAAAACTGTTTGGTCCACCTGTGACAACAAGTTAAGATTAACACATGTAAACTGCAGCCAGCCAGTTGTGGTGGTATTCACCTGTGAGCCCAGCACTGAGAGGCTGAGGCAGGAGGATCACAAGTTTTAGCCCAACTTGTACAATTTAGAGACTTTACAAGGCCCTGTTTCAACAATAAAAAAAGGAAAGAAAGAGGCCTGTGGTTGTAGCTCAGTGCAAAAGTCCTGGGGTTCAATCTCCATTACTGAAAAGAAAAAAAAAAGCCTTTTCTTGTCAGTCAGCAAAGGAAACAAAGGGTTCCCTCTGCAGCCTCAAACACTGGCAAAGGAGGGCCAGGATATAGCTTAGTGGGGTGGCACCTGCCTGGCAAGTGCGAAATCATGAGTTCAATTCCTGCCCTAAAAAAAAAAAAAAAAAAAAAAAAAAAAAAAAAAAAAAAAATAAGCAAAGGAACCCCGTGGGCCAGTATTTAAGTGTAAAGATGGCCCACTTGCCAACAATGACAGGAACGAGCTTGAAATATGAAGTGTGCTTTTCAACTGTCAGTGTGAGAGATGAGAAAGAACATAAAGAAATCCGTTCTCACATTTTGGTTTGTAAGGAAAGGGGGAGGGAAGGAGACTCGTCCTCTGAAAAATTTCTTGGCAGCTAGTAATAAAAAAAAGCATGGAAATAAAAGTCATGTGCAGAGCCACACTCTTGAGAGGCTCCCTTCTCACAAACAGGATGCGCTCTGGAAGCTCTCTGATGGCGCTGGATAGGAATTTGTGTATAGTCTTAATGTTTTTACGGAGACTGTTAGCACATTGACACATGGGAGGAGAAAATGACTGCAAAGCCAGCATCATGTTGGGCTGGAAACCAAGCCAGACTCCTGGTTGAGTACTTGTCAAAGGGGGAACCTAAGCTCTCTATAGATAGTCAACACGAGGGCTCCCCACAGCGCATGCTTGTTTGGCCTCCCTCAACATCATGGAACATGAGCCGGTGACCAGCAGGCTCAAGCCTGAGCTCATGGAGTTAAGGGGGCTTTGCAGGCTGTGTTGTGCAGTCCTAGTACTGTGTGAGGCAGGTGATCGGTGCCTTAGAGACCAGGTCTGTATTCACAGAGCTGAGGGGATAGAGTGGAAACAGTTCCAGCTATGATGGGAGCCACTCTTTCTCTTTAGTATGACTTGCTTCTCTGAAAATAACTCACTTGTCATCTCTGAGGCAGACACTGGGGCTCCTCCTCAGCACAGGTGTTACATCTGCAATAGCCGCCTCCCCTATGTTCCCAAACCTCTGAGGACAAGGGCAGGTAGCAAAGGGGCGGCTATGAAGTCCCTGTCCAGCTGGGTGACAGGAAGTGCCCAATCTGCCTAAGAATTCCTAGGGTTCCTGGAGTACAGCCCCGGCTGTGGGTCCTTTCTCCTGGACCATGGTTCTGAAGGGGAATGAGACAGCAGGGACATTGAGGCTGGCAGCAAACCTTGCCCCTGCCCACAGGGTCACAGACTTTCCAAAGGTGCATCATCCCAGTCCCTACACTGGATGATTAGCAACAGAATGGACTGTGTGCTCCTGTGCAGGGGGTGTGTCCCCGTCCACCGCAGTGCATGACCTGTCTACCGGGTGTGCTCACCAAGCTCCAGCTCCTGCTCCTCCTGAGGTGAAGGGTGCCTGAGCATTCTGTGGGGCCTATGGAAGTTGCGACGGGAGTCTGGCATGGAGCCTAGAGTCTCAGGGTGACAGCACCTGGTGGGAGCAGATGGCTATGTCTCTCACCCTGGCCAGCACTGAAGTCAGGCCATGTAGGTTCACCCCAAACCTGATCACCACAAAACCCAGTCACCCTCAAACCTGACCAACCCTTACCTCCGTCACCCCAAAACTGAACAGCCCTTAGCCCAGTACCCCTAAGCCTATCAGCTCCCAATTCCAGGTGCCCCAGGCCTAACTAGCTCCCACTCCATCACTCCAAGCCTGACCAGTCCTAATCTGTCAGCAGAGGAGGCAGGATAGGGATGGGAGGTATCTGTGGGCTCTGAGCAGAGGTAGGCGAAGGCTGCTATCTACCAGCCTTCAAGCTTGGGCACTGCCATCCTCAGAGGTACACGGCTCCCAGGCATTTCCTGGCTACCACCTATGGACAGTGCTGATGGCCAAAAGCCTTTGGACTCAGTGGATGCCAGTTACTTGCTCAGTGACCTGGCTGAAATCCCAGGGCTGTGCAGGCTCTAGGGCCTCTGCTACCCTGCCTGTTCCCTTCAGCATTCAACATGACTTTGCCCAGTACCATCTCCCCCACTGACGACCTCGCTCAGACACAGGTGTTGCCTATGGGGGGGATAAGGAGGCTGGAGGGAGCCTGAATTCCTCACAAGCCTGTGCCCTAGGACATGTGTTCATTTTCACACTCAGTGCTGGCTTTTCCTGAGCTGCCCTCCACTGCTGTGCTCCCAAGCCCAGGCCCAGCTTTTCACAGCTACAGAACCAGTTCTGTGTACTTGGAAGAGAGAATTTTCTCAGGAGGATGAATCTCTTAAATAAAGTGGTGCCTGGAACTCTTTACGGAGGTGGTAAAAGCCACTCTCAGTTTGCTGCATTCCAAGCCTGGGGTGGAAGTACCAGCAGGAGTGTGTTTTGAAGGGCTTTGTGGAGAAGTGAGCTGAGACCCTGGGAACACCATGTCAGAGCCAGATAGCAAACCAAGGAAATGGGGGCTGGGGTTTCCTGGGGCAACCAAGTCCAAAGAATAATTTGGACAGAGAAGGCAGATGTGGTCTGGGAAGCTTCTGGGCAGGAAGATGAGAAGGAGCCTCCAAGTCCTAGCAAACCACATGCCATGGCCCTCCCACCAGTGTCACTCATTGCCTGGCACACACGTCTCTCTTTGTGTCCTCCACCCCTGTCCTGAGCCTTTTCATCTAGAGCATCCTTTGTACCTGTCCCAGGTCAGCCAGGTCCTCCCTGGCAACAGTTGCCTGACGTGACCCAAGGACTAGGCCTTTTTATCCTTCACACTACCTGCTGTTCTGCTGGAGAAAGGCCACCCAGCTCCGCTGCCTATTCTGGAAGTTCTCCCTACCATACCCTTGCAGCTAACCGCAGCTTCTCCTGTCCTCGGGGAGGCCACAAGCCTCTTTTTCAGTTCTGGGGAGAAAGGTATGGGCCTGTCCTTCCCATTGCCCTGCACGGTCTTCTGTCCCGCCCTCCCTTCTACCCTCTCAGACCTTGGCTCTGCCCTCCAACACCACCCCAGCCCCAGGCCTGTTGCTTTTTACCTTGTCTCTAGGGGGCTGCTATCTGTGTTGCGGGAGGCCCAGCTGGTCTCTGTGTTGGGGCAGCTGCCTTCCCTATTCACAGCTCAGGTAGATGACAATGGCTCCTATGGGATCAAAGGCTCAGAAATGACCTCCTCCAGGCTGGGCAAAGAGACAAACAAAACCTGTTAGCCACATGTAGAGATTGCTTGAAAGATTGTAAAGGATCAGAGTGAATACCAAGAAGGAAAAACAGAGGCCATCACAGAGGGCACAGCTGCTTAGCTGGAAATTCCATATCCAGGAATTCAATCTCCAGAAAAAATTAGAGATGACTAAAAATTCACTACTCTAGGATGCTTCCAAGGTTTAAAATAGCCACACATGCTCAAAAAAAGAGAAAATGGGCTGCTTAGAAACTCACTTTCTCAAGACTATTTGATGACGTAGAGGTTGCTTGGACTCAAAGGAAAAGAGAAGCCACTCAATTCTAATTTAAAATGCAGTTATCTCTGAGCCTTGGAATTCCAGGCAATTTTGCTTTCTGAATCCTTTTTGAAATTTGCCAACATGTTTGCGGTGGACTTGAGTTGCTCTTATCGGAAAAAAAAAATGCTTACTTAAAACCAAAAGGAGGTGAAGTTTTCAAAAAGGCACAAAGAAGATAAGCCATCACACACAACCTTGACTCTGGCAAGGGAGCAGTAGCCCAGCTGGACCCAGGAGCTTGGCTGGACCAGGGCTCTGACCAGGTCCTGGGTCATGAGCCTGGTGGGCTTGAGGAACCTGAGGAGAAGACAGGGAAGGTTCAGGTCTTCTAGGGTACTTACTGCCTGGTCCAGTGGGGTACCTGAGTCCCGGTTCCAGCCCAAGGGCAAACTTGTTGAAGACTTTGTTCTCTGGTTTTTTATTCTATGGCTATGCCAACATCCAAGGAGAAGACTGGGCACTACAGAGAGGTGCCTCCCAGGACCCCAAAATCTGTAGGGGGCTCAAGAAGACTGTCCCCAGAAATAGTGATGTCTCAATATGGAGTCACTAGCCTCTGTTCCTGTGACTACAAATCAGTGCCCTGAAGACTGACTGGATCCAGCCAGGAGTGACTGCCTGTCCATCCATCCACCCCAAGCAGCAGTTTGTTGGGGTTCTCCAAATGTCACCTGCATGTCTGGAGAGACCCATGGCTGCGAGGGAGACACCATAAGAGAGTAAGGTGAGGAAGGCAGGGCAGAACCTAAATCCATGACGGAAATCTCCCTGACAAGTGACAACAGCTGGGGAGGGGCAAGGGAAATGGGGGAAATGGTCCTTCTCAGGGCACAGTGTGTCTCTATGTCACAAAAAGCCTCTTCACCACCAGCTGCCCTGGAGAATAACTGTGAGAGGATGGCTGAGTCCCTCTGTGGGACTTAGTGCTCAGGGAGCAGACCTGAGTGCTCTGAGGGACTTAAAGCTGGATTAATCCCAAGAATAAGCCACTCAGCCTCACTCAAGGCACCTCAGCATCTTGGGCAGGGGAGTAAGGTGGGGTAAGGACAGCTACCTTCCCTAAGAGAGACCTCCTTCAAGTCGGTTAGTGCCTCTTTCCAGGATTCAATGAGACTTGTCCTGAGAAGGACATTCAGAAGCCCCGGTGAGTGTTGAGAAACCTGGTCCCAACAGCCACTGCCTGGAACCCAAGAAAGCTCACCCCTGAGAATTCCATCCTCAACTGACAGTACTGCAGGCAGTTGAGGGTGTTCCCCAGCAAATGTGCCCACAAGGTAGAACGCCCTAGTGACAGCAGTGCCTGCTGCAGGTTTAAAAGTCAAAGTCTTGTCATCCAAGAAGGAGAACAAGAAAGAACCAATGGCCAGGACTCCCTTTCTAGAACCCTTCCCATCCTGACTGACAGCAGTGAGGGGAGGACACCTCCATGGACAGGGAGCCTTGGCTACCAGGAGGCTTGCCATCTACACTGGTTCCATAGGTTTGGGCTCACTGGATCACCCACTGCGTCCTCTTGTGTGTCTGAGTCTCTGGCTTTGTTGCTGAGGCAGATCAGGATATGGTAAATTACAACTGGAAAACCAGGCATGACCTGTCAATCATGAAAAGCTGTCAAATCATGGCTGAGATGCATGTGCAGAGCAGCTTTGAAGCCCTGCAAGGGACAGCCTGGATCTGTTATCAAAAGAAGATTTAAAAAAGAGAGTGGCCATTCACTTTGCCACTGTTGCCCTCTTGTTCTTGCAGTGGTTTGTCCTATATGTAGGATGTATCTTCTCTTTTCTCTTTCTTCTTCTTTTCCTCTCCTTTTCTTCTTTTCATTGATAAAAGTTAATAAAACTGTTATGTTCCTCAGTTGTCTGAATATTACAAGAGCCGTGAACCACTGGACACCATACTGTCTGATACTACTAGCCAGGCTACCCAGAGCAAGTTCCTAGATCATCTGATATCTGCAGAGGCAAAGAATATAGGTGGCCAGATGCCCTTGGGCCCCAGGCAATGTCCCACAGGACTCCTGACCTCTTGGCCAGTTCTGGTCTTTGATTCAGGACCAAGCAGGGTGACTGTTGGAGGGGACATGACTGAGCCAACTACCACCCTCCTATCTAAAGATCTCCACCTTGTAAACACCCTCAATGGAGACACTAAGGTGACAGATCACTGTGGTTGGTGAGAGAGAACACTCGGTCCCCAAGTTCCCTAGGCACTGCCACAACAGGACTCCCAGACTGATCTCAGCATAGAACCTGGCCATCTCTAGGACGTGGTTCCTGTCTGAAAGTTTTAAGATCAGATGAGCCCCCATGACTGGGTCTTCATTTGCTTATTTCTAAGATTTTTTTCCCCGAAAGAACACTGAAGGAGCCTTCCCATGGGGCAGCTGGAAAGTGGCCTTGGGCTGGGAGGGAATTCCGATGGATAGATGGTGACTTCTCTGAGTCTTGAGGTGAGAAAATTCAGAAGCTGCACTTTCTGGGCAGAGGTCTCTCCCTGAGCTCCACACTCTCCTGGCCAAGCTGACACCAGACAGTGTACAGAGGAAGCCTCGAAGAATGAACAGCTGTGTGGAGGGATGGACCCCTGAGGGAGCCTACAGAAAGGCAAGGTAGGGTCATTGCCTGCATGGTGTCCCAGAGAGATGGGCTGGCCCTGAGGAGAACAAGGGTCTGGACAGCTGCACCTTCATTGGCCCCATGCAATAGGGACAGGGCTCCAACTTGTCCTGGGGCCTGCTTGTATTACAGTGAGGCATGGTTGTACTGGGTCAGTGGCACTGCTCCTTAGGGTACTCGTGAACTCTATTTCAGAAAACCACATTTGCCTCAGGGCTCAGAGTTCCATGTGGAGATAGTCTGCACTCCACTTTTTCAGGGGCTCCTTTACCCTGACAGCATCTCTTTGCTGAACAGAATAGCCCTGTCCTGTATCCTGGGATGGGCAGATCCTAGAAAGTCTGGGACATGCCCAACCCCACTGCTTCCTTTACACCAGAACCCAAAAGGAGCTTGCTCCACCAGACCCGCCTGCTGCCCCTGTGTTCAGATAATTTGCATTTCACCCAAATGCCCCAGTAGCCCCTCATGCGGGCCTAGGTCAAGGGAGCAGGATAGGGTGACAGTCAGGGCCAGGGCTCACAGGCAGATCCTAGGTTAACAGGGCTAGGGTTGCCTCTGCCTCTGTGACACCTGCAACCCTGGCTACCCACTAGGCTGCCATCTACAAACTCATTCATTTATTCTGCATAGAATAATTAAGCACCCAGAATGAGAGAGGCAACAGGCAGTCATCATCTCAGGGTGAAGGGACACAGGTTTGCAAATAGCCTTTCCAAAGGATACATGAGCAGAGTGGGTGGCATATTTGCTGGGAGATTTGTGGCAAGCTTTGCAGGGGAAGGGGCATGGGAGCTGAGGCTTGAAGCGTGGAGAGTTTGTCAAGTAGTGGGGAAAAGGCTCTCAAAGGAGAGAGAAAAAGGGCACCAGAGCTGAGGGGAGAAATCTTGTTCATGCGGCTGAGAAGGGAGCAGGATAGGGATGGCCTCCAAGACCCTGTTTACTAGTTTGATGTGTTAATGCCAGCCCCTTGCCACCCTTCTCCTGAGAGCTCTTTCTGGTTTGTCTGGCATCAGAGTCATGCCAGTTTCATCAAATAACACAGGCCAAGTCCTTCCTCTCCTGGCTTGTGGAGCAGACTGACTGGAGCCGGCTCAGCAACCCCTCCAGTGGTCCCTGGTCTTTCTCAGGGAATCCACAGGAAAGTGGGACCTCTTCTTTACACACTGACTTTCATCTCTTGCTAAAAGCTCCTTCATTCATTAATTGGTTCATGGGTTAAATAAAAGCCTTGACATGTGTTCCCTTTATAGCTGAGTGAATTATAGTTTTACTTTTTAAAATTTTTCTTTTTTTGTTTGTTTGTTTTTGTTTTTTTAGACAGGGTCTTGCTATGTATTTCAGGCTGGCCTTGAACTTACTATGTAGCCCAGGCTGGCCTTGAACTCCCAGCAGTCCTTCTGCCTCAGCCGCCCAAGTGCAGAGATTACAGATGGGTGCCACTATACTACATTTTAAAACCTTTATAACATCTCTCGCCTGCTTAGTGAGGCCAGAAGTAGGCTGATTCCCAAGTGTGATTATAGAGTGTGGCCAGGAGGGGCAAAGTGGTGCTGGAGATCCGGGACACCTAGCAGAGGCTCTGCTGTGTGGGCAGGAAATGTGCTCCCACCAGGCACAGGGCTGGCAGGGTCAGCCAGAGCCAATCCTCAGCTCCAGAAGCATCACTGCTGCCTTGGCAGGTGGGGCTTCTTTGCCCAGCTAACTCCTCACCTGCTGTCCTCTGTGTCTGACATACACCTGTCCCAGGCAGAGCTGCTGAGCTCCTCCCCACAGGTGCAGAAGTCTCAGGCAGCCTGTGCACCCGGAGCGCCACACAGTCTTTAGCACAGAGCTCAAGATACTGGGGTCCTTGAAGATGGGAAGCAGAAGTCTAAGAAAGCCAGGTTGCCTGGTAGATGTCACCTAATGGTAAACAGGGGACAAGGGTGGGAGCCCAGGTCTCTTCCACCACAGGGCTCCTGAATGAAGGCTTTGGGGGTGCATCCAGTCAGGACACGCTCTGGGTAGTAGCTAGAGAAGAGAGACAGCAGGGCTCCAACCCATCTCAATGTGGAAGCTCACTGCACGCAGGGTGACAGGTAAGACCTGTGTTCCTCTCTAGTTCTGGGGCCCTGCAGACTAAGTACTTGTGCCTGTGGAGGATAGGTCTGACCCACAGCCTGTGCGTATTCTGCGTTAAATATGTCATCCCTTCCTGGTCAGGCACAAAATGAAGACAGTGGTGTTGGAGAGAGGAAAGTAGCACAGTGCTAGACCTGCCTGGGGACTCCCTCAAGGCTGGGCCTGAGGTGGAAGCATGTGTTGGTCATATCAGGTCCATCAGTCCATCTGCAAGGTCTGGCCAGGTTGCCATGGCTGTGCAAGGCAGGGCTGGCCTGGGCTCCCATCTAATGGAATCAGGCCCAGAGAGCACAAGACCAGTTGCTGTCACCCCTGGAGAGTGTAGCCTATCCTGCAGAAAAGCTTCCCCAGGTGCCAGAATCACAGGTGCTCAGAGCCTTGGAATAATTCATAATTTGAAGGACACCTCCTCAGGTATATGAGTTCAGCCCCAATCTGGGCCTCTGGAGGCCACACCAGTCAGCTCCTTAGGCCTCAGAGCCTGAACAGAGGCTATCCTGGGGCACAGGGCTTGTGGGGTCACTGATTGCCTTCCCCAGAGTGTGGAAGATGTAGATTGGGGTGGCCAGGGTAACACACATATCAAGGCTGCGCATTCCCCTATGACAGTGCAACTCAGCAAACTTGGGCCCCCAGGCTCATCCCCCCTGAGGTTCACCTGGTCCCCTTTGCAGAAAGGCCAACTCCTGTGGCGTCCCCATTACCAGCCTCTTGTGGGCATCTTGGACAAGGATATGGAGGTGGCCTCAGGCAGCACTATATAAGAGAAGCATAAAGTGAGCCACCAATGTGACTCGGCACTTTCTACCAGCCACACCAGAAATAGGAGAAAGGGGGAAAACTAATTTTACTCATGTATTTTACTTAACCCAGTATATCAAAACATGTACCTGTGCAAGAAGTATTCCAGCAGCTGAACAGGCGCAGTCCAGATAGACTCTGATCCTACTCTGAGCCCTGTCTGAGAGGGAAGATGGCCCAGCTCTGGAGCCCTGATCAGGGAAAAGGCTTAGCCCATCCCCACCCCTGTCTGAAGGCTTGGCTCAGGCTTAGGGTCCCTCTTAGAGGGGTGCCCTGGCCCACCCCCTGGGAACCTGACCTGGTGGGGTACAAGATGCTGCACCAATGAGACCTCCACCTCACTTTCTGGTTTTCCATGGTTCCCCTGATAGAATTTTTGGCTCGGCTAAAAAGATAGAAATATGAGATAAAAGTGGCCTTATTTTAAGAATGTGGAGAGAGACTCCATGACCTCTGGGGTCTGGCTTTCTCTCTGCCAGACACGTGGTGTGGGGGCATACATGTAGCTTAGTTTGGGGTGGAGCCTAAGGGGCATTACTGATGCACAGGTAGCCCATTAGAATTCATTTCAAGCCACAGGTAAATTGCCAATGGGTGGGGGAAAGTGACCTCAAGATAGAGCCC